ATAATAATAATAATAATAATAATAATAATAATAATAATAATAATAATAATAATAATAAATTATAATAAATATGAAAAAGATTGCAAAAGAAGTTTCAGAGTTGCCGATCTCACTCATTTTCTGTGGCACAAATAAATTCAGTCAATTCATACCCTACCACTCAAAGTAGCTGGCATGCACTTAGTTGCTTGCTCCCAGTTCCAACCAATACCTTGGATTGCATCCAAAAGTAAATTAGATGCTCTGAGTAGAGATAAATGGCATTGAAAGCTGCTCAGAGTTCAAGCGATAGCAGAACAGTCACACTATTCTTGGCCTTGCCAGAAGTTTATGCTCAAACACAACCAGTGTGGTTTCAGTCCCATACCCAAACTTTAAAGCCAGCTGAAAATGGTCCTGATAACCCTTTTTCTTCAGGGTTCTGTACAACCCTAGCTCCACCAACTTCTCAACAATCTGCTTCAAGAAGAGAAGGTTGCAGACAGGTTGAATATTGTTCAGTTAAAGAGAAGGTGCACCACTGACTCCTTCAAGATGGGCAGTACCAACCCTCTCATGAGGCAGCTTGTTCGTAAGCTGAGAGTTGAGAAAATCCTCTTTGGAACTATCATTGGGCTCAGGAGGCAGGAGCTGCAGCAGTGTTGGTTGGGTTTCCTGCACAAGACTAGTAGGGTGGGAAAAAAATCCTGTGCTTGTTCCACCATTGCCTCCAATTTGACCAGAAGCATCATAGGAGAAATGGAAAGACATTGGGGGGAGGAAAAATGTATCTTCCTTGGAAATGGAAGTTTCCCTCTGAAAGGCATTCTTCCTGCAAAGAGACCTTACAGCTTATTTGAGTTTAAGTAGAAATATTTTCAGCCTCCAGAACAAATTGCTTAATTCTATCATTACAAACAAATCAGAGCGTTTTGTTTTCTCATGTTTTTTTTAAAAAAAATAATAAAGCTGAGTAAATTGCTTGTTCTTGTATTTCATTTTTACATCTTTATTTTTATAGGTGGTTATTGATAAACAAAAATATTGAAGAGAAACTACAAAAGGCTCACACACATTTGCATTTGTGGGAATTCTATACAGAGGTTTCAGCAAAACTAGACAAATATGAAGAGCAGTGTGATTCCCAGTTGATGTCTGATACACTTTCAAGCCGCACAACGGATTTTCTTAAGGAGATGGCGGAGAATATAAAAGTAAGAATGGAAGACTATAAGAAGAAGCCAATGTTCCTTTTCCCCTGACTTGGAAAAGAGGCCAGTAGGATTGCTGCCCTCACACAATGGCAGGAACAGCAGTGTCTGCTTTTTTTGGGAGGAGTGAGGAGCAGGGAAGGAGACTCTTCACCTTCTCTGCTGCCACCCTCTTATGTCCCTCCCAGGTATGAGTCCCTTGCTGCCTGCCCATCACAGATATCAAGTGAGCACCATTGTAATCTCTATACCTTTTGAGACTGCAGCAGTGCTCTCCAACGTGTATGGTGGTAAAGACAGAGACTGATGTAGATGGCAGAGGTTGTTGGTAGGAATATCTACCTTGTAGGTATCCCCCAGCAGGTTAATGTTTTACTAGAACCAAAAAAAGAGAAAACCTTGGCTCTGTTCTTTCCAGCAGCCACAAGAGGCATTCAGTCCTGTTCTGTAGTAGCCAGTTGGAATCCTGGAGCTCATTGACCTCACCCAAGTGCCTCTTCCATGAAAATCAAATTTTGCATAGGGAAGGGTTTGTACTTTTTCCACTGAAAACCTGCTTTCCTGCCAGCTATCTTAAGGCTAAAGTAAGGGAGTTTCTAATCCAGCACTCTATGTTTCAAAGTAACCAGCTAGTTGCATTTGTAAAGCTAACAGGTTTAGAGGATTTTCCCAGCATATACCTAAACTTGACTGTCCATAGGTACCAAATATCTTAATTTGGAATTGATTGGAATGTTGTTTGTTGCTTTGTTTCAACAGCAAAACAGGCCAAAACAGTATTTGATCAAAACTGAAGCTTCCATTTGTCCTGTAGACTTCCCCCATGCAATTTAAATGTTTATATGAAGAACTGTATTCATGAAGATCACAAAGCACAGCTTACTATCCTTTTGTGGTCCTATTTTGTTATTAACTTTGCAAAACTGTAAATTCACTTTTGGGATGCAAAATACCACTCACCCATCACCAACACTACCCTCAGTCAAATACTGATGATATTAAAGCATGGTGAAGGAAACAAAATCCATTTGTTTGTATAAAAAAAGTTCATTATAATTTATCTCTACAAAGGTGATTAAAGAAAATTAAAGCTCAACAACAAAACAGCTGTGTTTTTATACCCAAAATGTCTTAGATCCAATCCTTGAGTCAGCTCATATTGGTAAAGACTTTTGTCAGATGAATAATTATTCCAGTTTCATCCTATGTGTATCAAGGTTACTTGTGCTTTCCAAAGAACGTGCTTTCAAACAAGAAGTGTAATCTATAGGTGGGGGGGGAAGCAAAGAGCAATGATCTTTTCCCATAGATGTCTGGATTGGGAGTAAGAATTGCCAAACCCCTGATGGAAATGCATCTCAACCTACCATTTTTACCAAGGAATTCAATTTCCTGCCAGGGTGTTTGGGGCTTGTGGTCCTAGTCCTGATTCCAAGCCGAAGACATTTTGGCTGGTTCTGAGTGCTTACCTTTGTTACAACTTTCTTCTGTGCCAAGATCTTTGACCCTTGAACTAAAAAAACAGTGCACATCAGTATTTGCAGGATCAGAGCCAGCCCAACTGCATTTTATATCAATTTAACAGATCTATGCTGTAGGGGAAAATATTTCAGAATTTTCTTCAGCAATACAGTAAAAAGTAGTAACACAGCAGTAGAAATGCTTCTGCTGTGTTATAATAATATAGAAGCAGCTTTCTACAATATAATTCCATGACTCTGGACAACAGTTAAAAAAAAAGATAATTTTGTCAAACAAGAAGCAATTGGTAAAGCCATCTGGTGTTAATAGTCGTCCCTCCACCCTACAGCCTAACAGAAAATAGCAGTGGAGAGCTAAACAATTCTTCTTTTATAAAGAGTAATTCTAAAGAAGAACCCTAATGGATGGGGGTGATTCTTTTTTCATTTTCTTTTCAGTTGTGAATGACTATTAAGAATCTGTCGGACCACTTGTTGTGCTTTTAAGCCTAATCTTCTTTTCCCCTGTGCTAACAGTTTTAGCTGAGGTTGAGGATTTAGGGTAAAGTTCTCTGCATTTTTGCAAATGGTTAGAAAAGTGTGTGTGGCCTTAATAAATTGCTCAGGAAGCCTAATGCGAAGAAATTAAAATGGACCCCTTTAGAGCAAGGAACTCATTTAGCCTGAAAAGCAGCAGTGACAAGGGAAAAAAGACTTAGGAAGCCAGGCAAGCATTAGTCCTATTGGCAAAATTTGTTCTTAATGGTAGTAAATTAGCATTTTCTACTTATTTGATGCCCATTAACTACAAAGCTGTGATTCTCATTCTCAAAAGCATGATTTTTAGGTAGCTGGTGTTAAATGGAAATGGTATTAAATTATATACCTTGGATGAGATGCTCCTCAATTGCATTTCCCCCTCCCTTTCCATAAAATAGACCTACCAAGCTACAGTTTTCTTAATTTTCTTTGTATTGCTCATCATATAGTCAGAAAGTGAAAGGGAATTAAGCATCCCAACAATGTTCAGGATTAAAGATCTGGGGCCTCATCAGTCTGGCTAGTCTTCTAGGTCAGAGGTCTTCCACCTTTCTCAATTGGCGAACCGGAGGGAAAGGGAGGGGGAAGCATTTTACATGTGCCTGTGCATACACACACAAATGGGGCCACGAGCATGTGCGATGCAAAAGGGAGTGCTAGCACCTGAGTGACACTCACTAGCACTGCCCTGTTTTTGCCGGGCAGGCGCTAACACTGCCCCATTTTCACCACGTGGTGCCCTGTTTTCAAGGCATGGTGCCTTGTTTTTGCCATGTGGTGCCCTGTTTTCTCCACACGGTGCCCCGTTTGCATAGTGGCAGCGCTAATGCAAATGGGGGTGAGTGCGCACACACATGTGTGCTCAATGGCCAGCCTGTTTTGCGGCCCAGTGGCCAGGAGGCCATGGCCCCAATAGCGGGCCATGGCCCACAGGTTGGGGCCCCCTGTTCTAGGTTTTATGTGAAGACCTTACTAGCTTTCAGGAGATATAGTGGTTTTGTTCAAATGTACCCTCTACTAGAACTAAGGTGCTTATGACCGGAGAGCATGGCTCTTCGGTGCTTTGGTTGGTTTGCAAATGGTGGCTCTCACACTTTATAGTTTGAATGATGTTTTAAGGTACTTCAGGTAAGTCTGTGAGCAATTTCATGAATTAGATAACTAATAATTGGCTCTTCCAGTGCCTCCTTGTTATCTGGCAGGTAGAATCTTAGTTCTGGAGTCTTTGATTGCTTCTCTTAAGGCATATTTCCTTTGTTTTTAGAGACTGCAACTTGGCCTTCAAGACATCAAAGAATATTATCTTCAGGCTTCTGAATCAAGCGATAGTTTAACTCAGTTGGCTGAACCGGAGACACAGAACCTTCTTCAGGAGAAACCCCAGCCACTTCAAAGGATCTCCTATCTGGAAAAGATGCTACAGATGAAAGCAGATGTTTATCAAGTACTGCTATTTGCTTGATATAAGCATTTTCAGCAGAGAGTGGGAAGTTGTATAATTTTCCTGAATGTTATATTTAGAAAATACTTTTCGTTTATATATCTGGGTTCCCCATGCTTTTGGCATAATGGGCCAACCCTGGATTTTTGAGAATGTATTCTGAGCTGTCGCTGCTCATTTATATTTATATTTTTTCAAGAAGCCATCCTTTGGAAAGACATATGGGATTTATAGCAAGCTAGCTACTAATAATGAGGTTTTTTTTTAAAAAAAAAAAAAAGATAAAAAGTCAGGTGGCAGGTACAGCCACAGCCCATTTTACTTAGTTATCTGCCATTTTTTCAGGTAAACTATATTTTGAAACTATATGTTAAATCAGATAGAATATCAGTATTTCATAATTCTTTCTTCCCTCAGTATGGTCTTTTACAACTGGAGAATTTTGGGAATTCCTTGGAAAAACTGGAAAACCATGTTAAAAATTCCACAGAAATACTGCACAATTCATGTGAAAGCAATAAAAATTTGGACTTACTCATGGTAAGCCTGTGTTTATAGTAGTATGCAAACAATTAAGACAATTAAGGCAGTAAAGTGTTTCCTGAGTGTTTTGAACTTTAACTCCCATTGACCCTAGGCAGTATGATATAATCAGAAGTTGCAAAACGTTTGAAAGACACCAGTGTTCAAACAAAGTTTGTAAAAATTGACCTTATTATCTCTTGATAATAATAAGTATTTTAGATAGTGAAAAGTTATTCCATAGCATCTGGACATGAGGTCCCTTATTTTATTAAGCAATGTTCCCTTTATAGTGAGGTAAACATCTTCTGTTAGTTCAAGGGCTGTAACATGCTTTGTACAATATCTTAATAGCCACCCTGTAAAAATAGAGCCATTTGCGGAGGGAAAATTCAAGAGATATAAAAAAATTCAGGAGGTTTATTCTTTAAAAACTCTAACCCTAAAAAACATTGGAAGAGGGCTAAGGGAGATGCAGGGCAAACTGCATGCTTCCTCTGAGGTGCACCTTTTGCAATCTACATTATGGGTTGGAATTCTAGCTGTTACATGAATGCTTTCAGATATCCATATGTACTCTAGTCTCGGATCAACATCTGGAGGATTGCAAATTAAATGAACATGAAATGTTCCAGTAAGCTGATTAGCAGTATTTGATGCCAAGCATATCTCCAAGTCTTCTCTTCCTATCAAAACCTGATAACCTCCTCATGCATTTTGGCAGTAGCATGGTATTTTCATGCCCCCCCCCAAAGTTGTTGTCTCACAATAAACAGATCAGGTGATTGAAAGGTCCCAACCATTGAGTCACCCAATACCTCTGGACGTCCCCTCAAAGTCCCATCCTAAGCTAAAAAGATATGGTTTGGGGACTTCATGTTGTTAGTAGTAAGGCATCTTTGTCTACCATTCTCTGGCAAAGCAACAAAATACCCAATATATATGGCAAACTCATGGTCTTCATTAAACAGAATCTAAGATGGGAGATTCTGAAAAGAAATAACACATAGCTTGGATAAAAAGTAAGCTAAAGCCTCCCTGAAGATTATATCAAATCTTGGTGTCTTCGTGGACCACGTGACGAATATTTGTAGCTCAGGGTTGAAGAGAGGGGTCCTTAGTGCTCTCTGATGTTTCATTACCCAAGCTAGATGACATCAGTACTATCACTGATGATGTTACCTACTTTAGTTAATGAAATGTCTGCAACAAAACAACCAAGCTCAAAGAGCACCTCAGTGCCACATAGCTTTGTTGCAAGAGTGTAGAACTGATTTGTCATTGCCTTTTAAAATTTCTCAGCTTCATCTGTGTCATTCAAGTATTAACCAGGTTTGACCATCCTTAGCTTCTTAAAATCAGCCAAGATTATCTAGATGCTGCTATTTTTATTGAAATCAGCTTGCAATAAAGTTTGGAAATAGCCATGTGTAGCAAATGAAATATATATTTTATTTCAACCCCAAAACAAACACCCTGTATTTCAGAAATACCACTGAACTGTTCCATGTGGGCTGTTGCTTGGCAAAAATAAATGTGGAACATTTATGTTCTGCATTAGAGTTGAAACAAATCTTGAAACATTTTACGGAGGGGTGATGCACCTGACTCCTCTCTCCTATTCTCTTCTACATTGTTTTTGCCCCAGCCTGCTCCTAGCCTTCCCAGTACCTTCCCTTCTAACCAGCCCATCTTTCCTTCATCCAAATCTTCCCAGTACCTTCCTTTTCTTGGTACACAGCCTCCAGTTTCCTTATCTTTTTCCCATTCCCAATTGCAATCATACCATTTGTACCTAAACATGTGTTTGTTTCCATGCCCAGATTGGATTGTGCATGTTTCACTTTTTATCTGCACACGGAACACGCCAAACTAGAGGTCCCAGCCATAGTGTCAAGGTTCCAATAGACAAGACCAAAGAAATCAGAACTCTGAGGCTTGAGATTTCCTCAAAGAACATGTTTATTGGTTACATAGTATCAACACTAAGTCTGAAATTCCCTTCAAAAAGAGATAATAATACAAAGTTGAACGTCCCATCCCAATGCTATGCAATCAGCTACGTTCCCCAATAGAAGAGTTTGGCAGGCTTTCTAACCAAATGCTCACGCCCCCCCCCCATCTAACAGACCTTGGTTCCCATGGAACAGTAAAACATTTTAGACTAGTAGAATTCCTCCACACCCCCTCCCATTCTTGTGGCAACCTAGAACGAGCAAAATGGCTGCACCCAGGTTCGTTGTAGAGTTGACACATGGAATGGTTGAATGTGAAACATCTTTTGTATCTTTACCCAGAAGTCTTTCTGACTCATGAATTGCTACCTGACAGAGAACAGAATAACATCATGTAGCTATAGTTCCTTGTGAGACATGTTTTCACATACTCTGTAACTCTGAAAGGGAATTTAAATAGAAGGGATTCTGCCTGAGACATGTAATTCAACAATCCCGATGTACAAAGCTCAATTGTGGCCAGTTGTAATGATATGATTAACCAAATTACCATAATATAGGCCAATCTTTGACTACCATTCTGAACTATTCTGAAGGAAAGCAAGATATAAATAAGTCTAATAATTATAATATAAGCTCTACATTGTGTGGGAATGGCCAAAATAGTAAATCTTGATATTGAGCGAGGATTTTTGACTTTTGACATGAAAATACGTTTTGGATTTCTTTATTTTGTGTGGAAATAGTGCATATTCTGTTGAAATATTCAAATTCCTGGGTTCAGAATTATTTAGTTCCAAATATATGGCATTGCCCCTGGTGCTGTTTAATGAACTTCCAGTAAATAATGAAAGTTTATTAGTTCCAAAAAACTAAGGGGGAAAAGGAGCTCCCTGGTATTGCAAATTAGTCTGAAAACTTGCCCCATTAATTGATAGTTATTATGTTAATTTCTATGATATGCAACATTGTATAGAGAGACCTCGAGATTTTTGCTCCTCAATATACATCAAATAAGTGATTGGCTCTTTTGGGTAACGTTTGCAAGAAATCAAACAAACATGATTTTCTAGTATTTAATTTATTTGTTCTTTTCAGAGCCAATTATTGAGTCTCACATCTTTATCTCCTGAAATGGAGAGACTGAATGAAGTCAGCTTTAGATTGCCACTCTGTGACTTCACTGTAAAGAGATTACAAAACCTTAATCGGCAGTGGACTCAGAAAACTGCTTCTGTTCTGGAGCAATGCAGGTAAAGAGGACTTTTTCTCATATTATGATGTAACTCCATCACAGTAGTTTAAGTCACTTTATTTGCAGCCTTTGGGCACCCAAGGTGTATAAAGCCTTGAAAGCTCTGTGACTAAACTATATTGCATATGCGATGTTTTCTTTCACAGCTATTTTCTATAAGCAGCCTTATTCATCCTTTAGTTTTGGTCACAGTATAGTAATCATTCTATGCAACTCATGGGATAGTTCCATGAGGTAGGATTTTTGGAATCTGCTTTTGAATATATGAACTGCAGCCCAGTGAGTTGAAAGAAATTTTTAATAATATGCAAATGCTAGTGAGTACATAAGAGAACATTGAAATGAAGACGTTCAAGTTATAAAAAGAGTTTATCAGAGAGTGGGATAATTTAATCTGAATCCAAAACTGGGTAACCAAATTCTTCTTCAGAACTCCCATGCTGGAAGGTAGCAGACTAGCTGTTGTGGACCTTCTCCTGGCTGTGTGTCTCCCACCTTCATGTACAATCTGTGAAAGTTACACATAGATGTCATGATCAACAGTCATTGATAAGCCTCATTGTCCATGATATTAACTAAACTCCTTTAAACTCATCTAAGTCAGGTGTTTTCAGGTTGCCATGGATACTAATCTTTTGAAGGATCTTTCTACCTTCTACTTTTGAACTTTTCACAGATTTTGTTTAATTTTAAAACAAAATTAATGGGAAGCTGGCATGCTGCATGCAGAGAATTCTGTACAGGATCTGTAAGCCAAATAAATAAATGAAGTTTTTAGCTCTCAGTCTTTGTTTATGAATGTATCTCTATGTACATCCCCAAACAAAGGTAAGGTGGAATTTGATCATACATATCCCTGGGACCGACAGAGTGTAGCAGAAAAAAACAGTTCACTAATTTGCCTTTTAATAAACTGATTTTTATGACTGGTCATATCCTTTATAGTTGTCATTTTGATTATGGACAGCTCTCCTCCTTCATAGTAGCTATTTCCTTAAAGTGACCATAATATGCTATCAATGTTTTCACCCTCAAATATGAGGAATCTCTGATTTAAACTGTTGGCTAGTTCCACTGCCTGACTTCTAGCAGTTTCTGAGCTGTTCTTCCTCACTGGTTGATTTAAGATTCAAATTAGATTTACAGTCTTAATTCTCAGTCAGTTTTTCACTACTTTATACCCTGTAAATATGGTGGGCTACAACTGATGATGGCTGGAAGTGAGAAGAATTATAATCTATGTCATTGGGAAAGTACCAAGTAAAGGAAGGCTACGGTAGAGATTTGTCTACAAGATCATGGATAATAACTTTGATCTACCACAAGTACAACTCTTGAAACCTATAAGATTTAAGTTAGTCATACCTAATTTAATCTTCAACTAAGTCTGCGCTGAAATCATTTCATTTGATTTCTTTTGTTTTAATTGCAGTGAACTGCAGAAGCATCAATCAGATGACAAGAAGTTTCTTCAGCAATGTCAGAATTGGGTGCAGTTTCTAGAGAAAATGAAAGAGAGCCTGAAAGAGAACATGCCGGGTACACTTGAGAAACTGCAAGAACATCAGAAAGAATATGAGGTGATGTTTTCACATGTTTGGCCTTGATCCAAAGAATTGGGAGTTTGGTATTTTCAGTATCAGCTCTGCACTCATATTCTTGCCACAGCTGATATTCTTTCAGTTCATTGAATTAAAACAATGATTAAATGTTATTCATTACTTACAGATATTACAAGCAGAGATTTCCATTAATCAGCAAATTTTCAGTTGTCTTGTGTCAAAAGCTTTGCATATGTTGGAATCAGGAGAAACAGAAAACAGGTAAAATATATGACTTGATGGTGCACACCTTGGTTTTTATGGCTTTCACTAGGAATAATGTGAACGCAAGCACCAATCATTTTTAGAAAAGTTAAAGCTATCACTAGAGATAGTTCTCAACTTATGACCAGTTGCTCAGCAATCACTCCAATTTTTATCATGAACTTCTCAGAAGCTACTTAGGACCTAGATTTGAAGTTCCAATGCCCCCTCCCCTGCCCGCAGTCACATGATCGCATTTGGTAGCTAGCCCACATCTACAGTTGTTTACAGAGTCCTGCAGTCCTGTGACTGCAACTCACAACTTCTGTTGCCAGAACCAGCATTTACTTCCATTTTCTGGCAGCACCCATTGCCCATTGGATTCACTTATCAATCACATTTGCTTAATGATTCCAGGGATTCACTTAACAATCACCACAAAAAAAATCATAAATTGGGCACAGTCCTGTGATGATCCACTTAATGACTGGCATGACTTATGTGTGTAATTCCAGGCTCAAATACGAGCACTGCCTGTATAAATGAGTAGATATGGAACAATTGGTAAAGCCAAAGACAGAAATTCAGACATGATCTTAGGCTTAAGTGATATCCAGTGCATCTAACGCCCATAGTAGAACAGAGAAATGCAGAGCCCATCCAGCATCCTCTGTTCATCAGTGTTGTTCTGCAATATTCTATATAACAACTTCTATTGTTTCAAGTCTGTAATTTCCTATGCCTGCTTACCTGGATGCCAGACCCACTGAATTTTAACATTTAGAATGAATGTCTCCACTTCTGCATATACTGTATATTCACATTAAACTTAATCAGCCTTTTCCAAAGCAGTTCACTTTAGATAGTCAGAGCTACAATGCCCAGAATTTCCAAATAGCTGACAGACCCTTTCTGATTTTTCTATAAATCAATATAATTGTTACTTAGCTTTCAGCAGCTCTTCTTCCTTATAATGAGGTAGGGAAGTCAGCTTTTCTATGGGTCACAAATTTCATAAGTTCCAGTGTGCATAGGGGAGCTGAAATTCAAAACATTTGGAGGACACTTAGCTGCCTGTGCCTGAAGTTTTATATTTTAAAAATAACACTGCAGTTCAGTTCAGTTTATAGTCCAAGACCAATAACTAAAAATACATCAAATTGTGTGTGTGTGTGTGTATGTGTGTAAAAAACACAAGTCTGAAACTATTCATGATAAGAGTATTAGACAGCTTTTATAAGCCAGAGCTATTGATAAAAGGTTTGCAACCTTCTTCTGAAAATTGGTTGTAAAGAAGGATAATGGTTATCTTGTGGCCATAAAAGAACTAGAATTTCTAAGAATGGGTATTATAAGTTTTATTTGTTATAGTGTATAAAGGGGCTATTTTAGTAACACACTTTTACAATTTCAACCTCCCTATCTGTATATACAACTGCAGTGTACAGCAACCTGGAGGGGATTCGGCGCTCTTAGATGGCTGTATGCTATAGTGACATAGGGTACCTGCTAAATACCACGCTGGACCCAATGCCATATGTCTACAATGTGATGGTAGTACATGATATTGTATTAACATATCACTCTGGTTACTTTAGAACTGAGTTTATCTCCAGGGTAACTCTGCTGAAGGAGCAGTGGCAGAGTGTAGTGCGGATGGCTCATCGGAAGAAGAGTGACATTGACAGCCTTGTAAAGCAGTGGCAAAAATTCACAACCTTACTGCAGGATCTCACAAAATTCCTCATGGACACAAACAGATACATAGCTGCCGTGAAGAGCCAGGACAAGTATCGCTTGGATCAAATTAGGAACCTGAATCACACATTCAAGGTTAGACCTCCCACTCGCTATCAGAGAATCAGAGAAATCAGCAATAGACCGCAATAGCACATTTCTTGAAAATTTAAATAGGGTAAACCTGGTTAGATGTGTCCCACAATTCAGATTTATTTATTTATTAAATGCATATGTTGCCCATCTCACTATTCGAGGCAACTCTGGGTGGCTTATAATGTAATAAAACAGATATAAAAACAATATAAAAGCATATTAAAATGACAAAAGATTAAACACAGACTAAAAGACCATGGATTTGGAGCAGAGCAGGGGTAGTACCTACTCTGTCACTGCACCAACCATCTCCAGCCTACAGATTCAGGACCAAATGCCAACTGGCAGAACCAGGTTTTAAGGCTCTTCCTGAAGACCAAAATGGTGGGGGGTAGATCTCACCTCCAGTGGCAAGATGTTCCAAAGGGAGAAGGCCATGGCATAAAAGGATTCCTCTTCTGGACCCCACCAGCTGAAATTTCTTGGCTGATGGGGCCCACAATAGCCCCCTTCTGCCAGAATGAGTGGAATGGGCCAATTCCATCATGGTGAGATGCTTCTTCAGGTGATCGGGACCCATGCCATAAAGGTGATGACCAATATCTTGAATTGGACCTGGAAGCAAACTGTCAACCCATGCAACTCCAGTAACAGGGTACATGTACCACCCTAGAGGCCTCTGGAACTTTTTGTGCTGCTGCATTCTGGACCAACTGCAGCTTCTGAATACTCTTCAAGGATAGCCTCATGTAGAGTGTGTTCTAATATTCCAAACAAGAGATGACCAGAGCATAAATGACTATGCGCAGGGTCTCATGATCCAGAAATTGCATTTCATACTCATGTACCTCACTCATATTTCTTTCTGGTATAAATTGTAGGTTCAAGTTAGATTAATAATAATTGTAACTTAATGTTGAATTATTATGATTATTTATAATTCCAAATGTTGAATTTTTTTACTGAACTGAACCTAGAATTTCATTTTAATATTGTTGACTATAGAATGGGCTTGTGTATTGATACATTTTTAAAATAAATTAATTATTTTCTCTTTTGTGTTTTAAGCAGCTTCAGTACAATTTTCTCACTTAAAGTGGTATACTAGATAAAATCTATTTCTTTTTTTTTAACTGAAATTGGTGCTTTCCTGAAGTGTGCTAGTCATCACATATTATATATTGAATCTTTCTTGTCCCCCAAAACATACATTTTTGGGGTAATACATCCTTAGACATGGGTTTAAAGACTTGGCTATACCAGTATAAGAGCCTTATATTAGCAGCTGTCATCTCAGCTTCTTTCTCCCTCCTGTGGAATTGTGATAATAATAGATTTCTGGGAGGATCAGTATGTCTTTCATTCAGGCATAATGCTAACCAGAGGTGGCTAAACTTTTTTTTTTTGGCCAAGGACTACATTTTAAAAATATTTTTAATTGCTTTCACTTCCCAGGACCACATCAGAAGTGGCATTAATGCTGTAAAATCTATAGTAATATGAAAAGGAATATTTCTACTAAAATTATTCAAGTAATTCTTAAGGAGATTTTGTTTCCAGTAGTTCTGTAGATATTCTTTTGCATCTCTGTGTGTGTCCTTTCAATACCCTACCTACTGATCTTTTAACAGTAACAATGATTTATATTTTATGTAATGATACCAATCTGAGTTTATTTGCTTTCTTGGTAGAATAAGGAAATACTTCAAAAGAGGTGGCAAACCAGATATTCTTTAACCTTGGATACTGGGGAAAAGTTACTTGGCATGGTAGCCCCTGAAGCAAAAGCTGCCATGCAGCTGGAGATGAACAAGTTGCGAGATAATTGGGACAACACACAACTTCAGCTGGAGAAGATTACCAGGCAATTTCAGGGCACTATACAGGTATCTTGCATAAATCAGTTATCTTTATTCTATAATGAACCAATTGGGTGTAGAATTTATCTTTTTGTGTGAATTTGCCATTACTTACTGCAGTTCATATATTAATCCAATCCAGAAAATCTCAGGGCTTGTTTCTATCTCTTGCTACCTAATTCTTGGATGTACTGCTGCTAGAGACTGAATTTAGATTCCTTTGACTATATAGAAAATGCTTTAAAATTGAATTGCGTCCCATAGTTTCTTTTACATTTGCTGTTACAGTTATTATTTGGGAAGTATTTTTCTGAAGGACAGAGGTAAGGTGATAGATTTATTGGGGATTTAATTATTTTTTTCATTTAGATGTGAATTTTGTTCTATATAGTTTTTGTCTAGGATCTTGTGGTCCTGTTTTAATTTATAACTGCAGTACAGTAAATACTTAATTAGTGATTCTTTCAAAGATCATCTGTGATTGTAGAAAAATACTACTGGATTGGTAACCCTGAGCATTGCTATTGTGTCTAGCTAATGCTAATCTGGTTGCTTAAATGTTGTTTGTTTTTGAGGCAAAAAGAAGTTCTGCATCCAAATTGCTCTTGTTGTTTTGCTTATTCTTGAGATCATAGAATTGGAAGGTACCATTGAAGCCAATGAGTTTGCCACCTGCTGTGTGTAGATATCCAAATAAAAGCATTTGGATATCTCGCATCTACTTGCATACATCCAATGAAAGGCAGTTGCATACCTTTCTTGATCATTAGTTCTACTGTAAAATTCTCTTTCATTATTAAGATTTTTCTAACAGAAATCTCAAAGAGTAGCATATTTGCAAATCAATGCAAAATTATGAGAAGCTCAGAATGCATACATTAGCTATATGCAGATAATAAGAGACAAAGAATCTTTGTGGATACTATTTTTCTTCCTCTGTGTTATAAAGAGAATCCAAAATGTATTGGAGGTTATCTGATAGTAGCAATACTTCTACCTATTAAACAATATTTGTTACTCATCATGAACTCATTTTTCTTCTTTGAAATTACAGACCTGGAAGAACTGTGAAAGGCAAGTGAAGGATCTGAGCCATGCTTTACTAGAACTCAAAGGAAGCATAAGCAAACCTCTTCCTATAGAACATGATGCATTGCCAGCAACCATGGAACAAGTAAAGGTATGTCTACGAAAGCCAAGATCTGAAGCAGTTTGAGGAACATCAATTTTAATATTTTTCACTGACAAATTCAAGACATACCTGCACAACAATTCTTGATGTTCTAAAACAGCGGCCCCCAACCTTTTGGGCACCAGGGACTAGTTCTGTGGAGAAAGGTTTTCCCGCGGACTGGAGGGGTGTGTGGTTTTGTGCCTGCATTCCGCAGATGGGGCTTCGCTTGTTTGTGCGGACCGGTTGATGGCATGCCGCGGACCAGTGCATGTCCACGGACTGGGGATTGGGGACCCCTGTTTTAAAACAAGTTCAAAGCTGAGTTAGAATGCTGGATTAGTGCAAATGGAACAGTTCTGAAATTAATGGGGGCGTAACAGAGACCTTCTCTCCAAATTGAAGAGAAGATATAGTTCTTCAGTTCAAAAATAAGCTGATGTACTGAACAAAGAAGGTGAGGTTGTCTGGCTCTACTGAGATTTCTAGTCCCTGAAGCACTAATAATAGTGCTTACCTGCACTATTATTAATTGAAAAAATAATGAATGTGACATAGCACTTTTTAAAAAATTGACAAGAAACCTTTAACGTTGCTATTCAGTCAAATGGTGGATGTTGTTCATTTTGGTGTTAGTGAAATGAGAGTCGGTCAGCAAAAGTAATTGTGCAACTATCTAGGCAGCTAGATTTGTTTGGAAATCAATCCCCTTGAATTCAACTGACTGTATTTCAAATTATTTTACCCTGGCTTTCTTTGACTTACTTTTAGTTGGGAATAAGCACTATTAATCACAATGAATGTTATTCCAAATAAACAAATAAACTCCCTCAAGATTTTTAAATGCTAGAAGAGTAACTTTGTTACACTTCTTCTGGAAGAAAAAAAATGTCATGTTGCCTCTTAAGTAAAGCTTTATAACACTATACATTTGTAAGAGTTTGGGGAAATCAGGGGATTTTTTTTGTGTGCTCAGTATTTGAAAATGACCCATTTCCTCTTCTCTCCAGCTGCCTTCCTTAGTTTTAATCAGAAACCAACCCCCCCAAAAAAAGTCAAGATCCCAACACAAAAGGTCCTGCTCACATATATATATATGCAAATTGCTGTCCTCCTTTCCCTTCCCTCTTGTACAGACCAATCACAAGATTAACCAAAAGGTTTGTAGAAAAGAGAAGGCAGAGGCAGGCGTGCGTGCACACCCGCTCACCCACCCCCAGGAGCTAGCTCTGAACTGGCTGTTGTTTTCCCCTTGGTGTTTTCCATGCAGGTACTGGAGAAATCACTCACCAACTGGAGCCAAAATGCAAAAGAACTTGATGCCCAAAAGGTGGAACTGACTCAGTTTATCCTCACAGAAGATATGATGGTACTGACAGAACAAATTGACCGTTTGCACAGCCAGTGGGAAGAGCTCTGCCGCAGAGTAAGTAGTTTATTTGGACATGCTGATGTTTGAGATCAGGCATTGCAAGGCAACATGAAGAAGATTCCTCATTTTTTTTGTAAAGGAACAGAAGATAAACTTGAAGGATTTAAAGCCCTGTGGTTTTCTAAGCAATACTGTAAGCAAATGTAGCTTTTTGGTGGCTGTGAAGGAAAAAAAAAAACCCTGCTCCTTTCTCCATTTGTGGCCACAGTGTTCCCAAGTTTTGAAAGTTTTGAGCAACAGGGCGCTTTAGAGAAACTTCTGATTGAAAGAGATGGTGTTCTAGAAGTAGACTAGCAACACTGACTATCTTTGCTCAAAGTGATCTGAAATGACCCATAACAGAAGGGCAAAGTAGACCAGAGAGTAGATGGTTATTCCTTATATTTTTCACTGCATGGTTTTCTGCATTTTTCTAAAGATGCCTCTTTTTGAAATTCTTCAAACTTGACTTTGTTCTGCAAGTTGTAGATGGAGGTTTCAAATACAAGGAATGATTACGCATTTTGTTCCATTACTCAACTCTGCAGTTCTTAAATCTTACGCACCTCACAACTGTGTGTTACGTTTTTCAAAGATCAGGAATGCCATGCTAAACAGTAATTTTCAAAAATCATCCCCAAATTCTAAGCTAAGGCAATGAGATCCCATTGCTGGAGTTTCCTCCTCAGCACCGTCCACTCGCTGCTAATATTACTATTTTGTTGTTTTATTGCTTTTTAACATTTTAAAATCTTCCTTGAAAGAAACTGGTGTATTTAAATTGCAGTAGGCCTTACCTTGTATAAAAATGCTGGATTTAACTGCATGGCTACAATCATAATACATGTTTAGCTGGGATCAGTTAATCCTTTCTAGGTTCCTTTTTCATATCCAAGTCTAACATGAACAATTAACTAACTTTAATATGTTTAAATTTTAGCAGTTTTGAATCTAACCTTATTGGTTGATATTTATCCTGCTTTAACACTTTTTGTTTTAGATTTTAGACCAGAGGTCTCCAACCTTGGCAACTTTAAAACTGGTGGACTTCAACTCCCAGAATTCTGGGAGTTGAAGTCCACCAGTCTTAAAGTTGTCAAGGTTGAGGACCCCTGGTTCTAGATTAAATATATGTTGTCATTTTGCCCACTATACAGAAAATTGGTTCAAAAGTGAGAAATTATTGTTGGGCCAAGGCCAGAGGAGGTCTGCTTTTGCAATTGTTAAACTAAACATGCCATGATTTGGCTTCATATGTTGTCCGACACATGGTTTTGCTTAATGTGACTTTTCAAATCATGGGTCTGATTATAGTTAAGGAGGAAGGATTTTATAATCAGTAATCATGGGATGTTACAACTTAGTTTATCTTAATCATAATCCAGCATGACATTGAACTCTACATGTTGTATAAAGCCATCTGTCAGTAGCTAACCCTCTGATCTGTGGGATATGGGTAGCTTGGTGATCATACTTAGAACTAATTACAGCTTAGCCCAGTGCATGAATATTCAGTGAATTAATGGCAAAAGTTAGAAAAAAAAGTCTGATTCCCAAATTTATATTGTGATGGGTCTGTTATTCTGAAAACCAAGACACTATTAAATAAAAAAAACCCTGCATCAATTTCTCAAATTAAGTTAACCATACCATGTTTTAGGTGCAAAAAATTGATAATTAGAGTGGCCCATTTTCTTTCCTACCGATATCCCTAGCCCTAAAATGAAATCTCCAACAAAAGCATATTGTTTGAAAACAATAAATGGAAAAGCCCATCCCCTGCCTGTGTTAAAAGCGAGGCAGTGCAGCTGCCCAAGAGCCCCTCAAAATTAACCAGCCAGATGCTCCTGCTGAAAGAAAGAGGAAAACAAACAGCAGATGGACTGTCTGGAGCAAGGAGGCGGGGAATATCAAGGGCAGGGTTTTGGCATGCCAGCACAGTAGGGAACAGGACAGAGGAGCGTATACGTTGCTCCAAACCAAAGACAATTTAAAGTAGATATATATTTTTCATATGCTTATTAACTTCTTCTTCTTCTTGTGCCATATCCGTTATTGGACATTGGCAATCATGTTGGCGATCCCGTTTTTATCAGCAGCCGCACGAAAAAGTGCTGCTGAGTTTTGTCCAAACCAATCCCTTAGATTTTGAAGCCACGATGTTCTTCTTCTGCCTGGACCTCATTTGCCTTCAATCTTTCCCTAGAGGATTAAATGGAGTATGCCGTATTTTTCTGGGTGTCGCATCACATGTCCGAAATATTCTAATTTCCGTTTTTTAATTGTTTTGATTATTTCCCTTGGCTTTCCCAGGTGGCTTATCACCTCCTCATTTCTGATGCAAATACGAAATCTGTTTCTCCAGAAATATAGTCCTTCAATTTATCCAGAAAGCTTAAAAGAAGTTAACTTTATCTGCCAATGACAATCATCTTTGTTATTTCTATCGTGATTATGTATAGTATTATTAATATTGATTATATTTTATATTTCATTTTCTACCTAATACTTTAAATTGATTTACATTGCTGAGTTATTGGGCACTTTAGAAATATCAAGATACAGGCAATCCTTGACTTACAACAGTTTGTTTAGTGACCAGTTGAAGTTACAATGGCACTGAAAAAAGTGACTTATGACCATTTTTTCATACTTATGACTGTTTCAGCATCCCTGTGGTCACATGATCAAAATTCAGACACTTGGCAACGGTGTCCTGGGTGTCATATGATCCCCTTTTCCGCCCTTCTGACAAGCAAAGTCAATGGGGAAGCCAAATTCACTTAACAGCCATGCTACTAACTTAACAATTGCTGCAATTCATTTAACAACTGTGTCAAGAAAGATCGTAAAATGGGACAAAACTAACTCAGCAACTGTCTCACTTAGCAACAGAAATTTGGGGCTCAGTTGTGGTTGTAAGACGAGGACTACCTGTAGTTCAAATTGACAAGGCTTCATACAACTTTACTGCAGAATCCACAGCATTGTAGAAATGATCTTACATTCCTGAATGCTAAGAAGGTTCAAAGTAAAAGCAGATTGAAGCTCTTTTAATATACCTTGTCTTACACCAGTGACCACAATAAATATAGCTATGTATGTAACATAGCTTTTCTGTTATTTATTTGAAATTTAAGCCAGAGTAAGCAGCACACTACATGTTGCATGCTTTCATGGCCTTCTTCACACATAATATTAAGGCATACATTTTTGGTTTACCGTGATATGGACTGATAAGTGAGATGATCTGGTGTTTTCTGGATAAGCTTTAAATGTCTTTGTTATATCAAAGATGCTTCCATCACTATCTAAAAATGGGGGAAAATATTATTTGAAAGGGAAGGAATTGTTTGAGAGTGTTAATGGATTTTGCAGGGAAATCTGCAGGGGAAAAATAAATAAAATGCATTCTTTTTACCTGCTTATGTATTGCATCAGTAAACTGGCTCCTTCCAAAATTTAGTGAAGACACTTGTCATCTATATCTTCCTCCATAGGTTTCTCTGCACAAGCAAGATATCGAGGACCGACTCAATACCTGGATTGTGTTCAACGAAAAAAATAAGGAGCTGTGTACTTGGCTGGTGCAGATGGAAGAAAAAGTCCCTCAATCAGCAGATATCAGTATTGAAGACATGATAGAGAAGCTGCAGAAGGTGAGTAAACTTTGGTTAGATTTTTTTTCTCCTCATTTGAGCTTGTATTATCGATGTACACAGAAGTTTATTCTTGCTTAGGTATGCTTGCCATAATGGAGTTTCAGGAGAGATCAGTAAGTATTAACTTAAAACATCTTGACTTAATCTTCTGCTTTTCTCATAACTGCAAAATAAATAAATCCTTAGTCTTCTGTGGTGATTATTTTTTAATTATTTAAATTGACACTTAACCTTTAGCAAAAAAAANTCGATGTACACAGAAGTTTATTCTTGCTTAGGTATGCTTGCCATAATGGAGTTTCAGGAGAGATCAGTAAGTATTAACTTAAAACATCTTGACTTAATCTTCTGCTTTTCTCATAACTGCAAAATAAATAAATCCTTAGTCTTCTGTGGTGATTATTTTTTAATTATTTAAATTGACACTTAACCTTTAGCAAAAAAAAGCTCTCAGAAACTTACAAAATGTATAATATGAGAGTCCCAGTGTTTAAACATATTAAAGTGTACATTTGAAAAGTTGTGATACATAAGGAAAAAGGGAGAAGATGGGAGGAAGAAGATAAAATGTAAGCTTAAATATTTTTTTCTTAAACTTTGTGTTACAGTCATCTGGGAGAAACTGATGGGTCAGCTGTTTGTTTACAGTAGCTAGAAGGCCAAAGGCAATTTATCAACAGAGGACAGGGATAAAAAAGAGGGAGCTGATTACAGTATTTTTTAATATAATCAAATATTCTGGTTTTTTTTTACTGTAAAAATACTAGAAACCTACATTTAAACTTCTTTCTGTAGAAGTCTAACTTTTGTTTCTACCTTTTCCAGTTCATGCAAAATGTGTTGATTTAAAAATTTAAAATTCTCTTGTTTAGGATTACATGGAGGAAATCAATCTGTTTAATGAAAGTCAACTAGTTCATTTCAAGGAAATGGGCAATCAGCTGATCAAGTCTAGCAACCAAAGTAGAGGGGCTGAAATTGAAGAGAAACTCAACAAAATTAATGACCGCTGGCAGCATCTCTTTGATATTATTGGAGGAAGGTAAGTATGTGTTCATTAGTTGGTATATAAGCATAATAGAATTATAAAAGAAATAACAACTTGAGTAGAAGTTTTATCTGAAATAGTATAGAATTTCCTGCTTGAGCAGGGGGTTGGACTTTTGTCGTTGTTGTTAGTTGCGAAGTCGTGTCCGACCCATCGCGACCCCGTAGACAATGTTCTTCCAGGTCTTCCTGTCCTCTACCATCTTCTGGAGTCCATTTAAGCTCACTCCTACTGCTTCAGTGACTCCATCCAGCCACCTCATTCTCTGTCGTCCCCTTCTTCTATTGCCCTCAATCTTTCCCAGCATTAGGCTCTTCTCCAGTGAGTCCTTCCTTCTCATTAGGTGGCCAAAGTATTTGAGTTTCAACTTCTGGATCTGGCCTTCTAAAGAGCAGTCGGGGTTGATCTCTTCTAAGACTGACCGGTTTGAATGCCTTGCAGTCCAAGGGACTCACAGGAGTCTTCTTCAGCACTAGAAGACCTCAAACATCCCTTCCAACTCTATTATTCTGTTAGAATCTTCAAGGTTGATTTATGCATTACATTTTAGTCAATATGATTCTACAAAGTAATGTGTGATTGTAATTCATCTATGTTTTGTGAGTATGTGCTACCCCAACATCTTGTTTAGAAAGATATAATTGGTTTGTTAACTGCTACTTTATGTTAAACATATGCTAAGTGACAAACTGGTGAACATATTACATTTCCTTCAGATGTATGTCTGTTGACTGGCAGTCGCTGTCCAACATTTTAGCAGTTGTATTTCCCAAGAAGTTATTTGCCTCTGAAGCATGCAAGAATTAGTTTTCCATTTTTGCAACATGACTCAGATATTTGGATTATATTGTAATATTGGTACCATCCAATAATAATATAAGATTTGCAGACTTTTCAGAAATTTAGAAAAGGGACAAGGAATGAAGAAAAGAATACGAGACCTATGTTTTAGCCTCAGCCCTTCCCTGGAAAGATTAAGACAGATTTAGCTGAACTAAGACACTGTGCGTGCATTTTCCCTGTAAAATATCATTGATTTATGTGTTAGGAAAAAGCATGGTATCATAAAGATCTCTTCTTCACTATTAGAGAAGGAGATTGTAGAAATCAGTTATTTTTGGCACTTGGATAGGCAGGTAAGAATAACATTCAAATATGGCTTCATTAATTCTATATTGCAAAAGGAAACGTATTTATTGTAAAAGAGGGATGAAGTGAATCTGTGGTGGATTAAGGTGCGTTCTATTTTGCCATTGATTTATGCCATGAAACTATTCCATTTGCACGGATTTATACGTTCAAACAATTTGAGCATATTTGGATGATGCAATGAGCTACCATAATCTTTCCTTTTTCCTGAAGCATGTAATCCTACCCTTTGACTGCTTTCTAGAGCAGCGCAGCCAAGATGTGCTGTTTTTTTTAAGCTTACCACAATGTCTGCAGAATTCTTCCCAACACAAGTAAGAAGGGAGCTCCCCAAAACTTTAAATAAACCAGAGGGATACTCTCTGGTTATTTTCACCTATGTCTGTGAAAATTCTCAGCCATCCAGGTCATGGTTGTCCCAAATATGCTTTTTCAAAAGACCAACGGGACTTTGTTTTTCCTTGAAGACATTTCACTTCTCATCCAAGAAGCATCTTCAGTTCGGCTGAAGAAACATCTTTGAAGAAAAACAAAATCCAGTTTGCCTTTTGAAAAAGCACCTTTGGGATGTACAGCTGTGCTCTCCTTTGTGAGAGGAGTCAGTGATGGAGGGGAAGAATTAATCAATAATCCAAATTTCCACCATATCTCATCCAAATATGTCCTCTTTTTAAAATAGTATTGCCAAAATTTCACTAAACAGTGTTCGTAAGATCTATGTATTTTGTGCAAGTAATTTTTGGTTTTAAATCAATTATAACAAATTTGTATGCCATACATATTTGGGGAGCATTTTAATTGCAACAAAAACCATTCAGAAGCCACTGGTCAAAACAGATCATTGTAGTAAAGATGTGGCTTCACCTTAAAACAATCAACAGCTGGAGACATATGGGCAAATTAAGACAAGCTTTTCACTTGGTTCTTGGTGTGCTTCTTATCCTTTGCTTTGCCATAAGGTTCTAGTCCATGAGGCCTTGTCATGTTTCCACAGTGCCCAAGCACTCTTGGGTGCCATGCACAAAGGCTTGCTTTGTGCAGAGAAGCAGCTGGAAAAGAATGTGTATCTAACCAGGGGCAATTTGGGGAACTTAGTGTATCTTTGAACAATGCAATAACAACAAATTAATAACCCAGAGGCATCTGTTTTAATTTTGATACATGCAAATTTTGTGGAACTTCTTGAGCTATTTCATGTAGCAACATTGGAGGTACTTTGAGGCATGGGAAGAAGCCTTAAAGATTAAAAAGCACGAGGTGTTTCTCACTTGGAGGTGGCATTTCTTTCCAAAATATATTTCTGTGTTCTTTAGATCAGAGTGAAGCTTTCCCCTTCATGGGTGCTGAAATGAAACAATATATAATGATCCTAATATGTACATCAGAGAGATGTAAATTTAATTCTCTGTCTCTGATAGAAATTTAAAATGTCTTTACTGCTCTGCATTATTTTGTTAATTATTTTGTCTTTCATTCCTCTTTCTTTGATCCCGCACTTATGAGATTTAGAAGTCCTTAGAGCAGAGAAGTATTTTATTTGTTTGTAATACTGTATGAAGTATATTATATAGTGATATTGCTTTATAAAGATATAGTGATATAATGATCCAAATGCTGAGGGACAAGTATCCATTATTCCTGATATTACATTAAACCAAGGAGTATATCATTGAAGCATTTTTGCAATTCACACCATTTTATGCTATTTCTGTGGTAACATAAACATACAAATGATGTAAATTAAGTCAGCTTCATAATGAGGTCATTGAGTAAATGATGTAAATTGATGCAAATGATGTCATTACATAAATTAATTAAGTTATGGTGGAATTTGGTTTGTTCCATGCAGTCTGTTGTCTCAAGGTCTCTATATTCCTGGTCTTACTTTACAGAATGTTTTTGCTAACACAAGCAGTTGAAGTCTTGTATAAACTGCAGGTGTGCCATTCAATCTAAAAGACAAATTCAAGATTAAAATTCTCAAAACAAGATGCATGCTGCCAATGTATTTTTAGTCAGGAAATTGTAGTTGTGTAATTCTGTCATTGCATAAAACTTCATAGAATTTTATAGACATTATTAACAAGCTTCTTTGGCTGGTTTCCCATGTAACAAATCAAGGAGCTGATTTGTGATACTGTTGAGGGCAGAAGACAGATCTTTTCCATAAAGCAAACTTAACCGTCCTAAAAAGGGATGTGCAATCCACTGTGTTTCAAGGACACAGTATTTTGTGCAATTCAGGAATGTATGGTTTGTCCTCCAGATCATATCCATTCAGGCATTTAGGGGGTGGCCTGGCAGTTTTTCAGAACGTAATGCTCTGAACAGGAAGCATCTTATATTATGGTATTCCAAGTTCAAGACCTGTAGCCATTCTTTTCCTTATGAAAAACTCTTGTCCAAAACATCATAAAGTACTTTTAGTTTAAGGGATTAACTTTTGGAAAACTGGCTCACACAGCTCTGAGGAATGAAAGTTCAGTAGATGAGTGCATATGTCTGCTCCTAAACAAGTTTGCTTAAAGCATATTAACAAATAGGCAACAGTATGCTGATTAACATAAGGATGTCTCCTTTTTGGGTGGAATGTTTTGGACTATTAGAAATGATACCGTGCTGTGTCCTTGCTCTCTTAAATTAACTTGGCTTTTTCCCTTCATAAAGTGCTTAATCTCTTTTGTTGTTTATAGGGTATCAAAAATAATAAGACTTGGAAATGCCTCAAAATAAAATCGGATGCATTCTGAAATTTCTCTTTACGGAAGGATATAAATTAAATAAAGTTGTATTTTATGATATCCCTCTCATTATTCTCTTTTAAAATGTTAAATTTGAAATACAGATTTTTAACAGGCTCTCACAACATGCTTTCATTTTTTTTCCTTAACATTAAGGAAAAATAAAAACGATAGATATTAATTTAATATAAATTATTAATCTTGTTTTGCATCACTCCGTTTACCTTTTTAAGCAGAGAAGCAAAACGCAGGCCACAGATCCCATGCAGCCTATTGGCACACCTTCTGTAGCCACCATAATCCTTTAGATTAGGACAAAGTAAAAATAAGTTTTAAAAAAACCCTTAAAACTCTGCCTTGATATGCATTAGGGGAAAGGGACAAAGTGCTTATTTAGACCTGCAAAGCTCTCACCCATATTGGGCCCATATCTATTTTTGCAATGCAGTCCTTAATCTCTGTTCCAGAGCTTGATGTGACCTTTGAGGATTCACATTCATTCAGTGCAAGTAGTCCTCAATTTACAATTATAACAACAGTCATTTCTGTCATAAGTCAAGGCATCACATGACTAGATTTGAAATTATAACCATTTTAATGATGGTCATTAAGCAAACAACATATTCATTAAACAAATCCATTTTCCCCAATTGCCAGAAACTGGAAGTAAACATTGGCAAAAAAAAAAGTTGCAAATCATGGTCACGTGAATGCAGGATGCTGCAAATGGACATAAAAGGGAGCTGGTTGCCAAGTGCCCAAATATGATCATGTGAACGGGTTGTAAGAAGTTCCGGGTAGAGCCAATGTAACTTCAAATGATAGTTAAGCAACCAGGACTACCTGTAACTCTATTATCAGTACTGCAGTATCATCTATGTAGTAACATATATGATTGCTTTGCCAAAGTAGCATAATTCTCATCCATCAGGTGCTATTTGGAGAAAGGGAAATACTTACTTTCATATTTACAAAGTAACAAATAATTAGCTGTTTATCTGGTTCCCTGTGACAACTAAGCCACACCTATACATGTAGCTGTATTTTATCTACCCATAGGAACCTTCAGATCACCTCAGGGATACTAATGAAAGTACCTTTTAGATGGGGACATCCTGATTCCATTGTCACCTGCATCCCCTCATCCCATGCCTTGAGAATTCCATTGGCCCCTACGTTATACTATTTTCAATGCAGTACTGAGTAAAAAACCACTTTACTTTTAATTCCAATGTGCTCATCAATCTTCAAATCTCATTTAGATCTTTGTAATAATGTTTTTCTTCAATTGGGTTTATTTTGATTTTATGCAGTTGCTGGGTTTTTTTCCATATGAATCTCATCTTCTCTTTTACCACTTGTAATGTTTCTAAACACCTCCAGTAAAATAAACTGTAAAGATTACCCAAATCTTAATGTCAAGATCTAATATTCTCCACTCCCCATATTTGGTGTCTATGACAGGGAATGGAGAAATGTAGAGTATGATCATGTGAGAATGTAGTCTAGGACAGGGGTCTCCAACCTTGGCAACTTTAAGACTTGTGGACTTCAACTCCCAGAATTCCTCAGCCAGCCAAGCTGGCTGAGGAATTCTGGGAGTTGGAGTCCATAAGTCTTAAAGTTGCCACGGTTGGGGACCTCTGGTCTAGGACACCTAAATTATGCTACATAATAGAGTGGAAAGGGAAGGTGTTTAACAGATATCTGCCATTTGAGTAGCATTTTCCCACTGAGCATTATGGTTACTGTGGTCCTAAAAATCACATGCAGGCAAAAACATAGAATATTCTTTTTTCAAGAGATTAAATTATTGGTCCCCCCCCCCTTTTTTTTTTTTTTGCACTTTAGCTCTTTCAAGCCAGCCTTTGGTTGGAACCTGGTATTGTTGACAGATATCAAATCAGAAGAAAAGTAGCATTTATTTTTTTTAGCAGCATTATTCATCATGGACTTCTGGGTGTGTGCGTTCAGGCATGTATGCACCACACTCTCTCTAGTGATGGCTCAAATGAGGAAAAGGGGAAGGCCTGAGATTCTCCCCCCCCTTCACCCCCCAACTCTTCTCTTTCGTTCTATGTGGGAGAAGATGTTAAGGCAGTGATATTAAATAGGGCATCCAAGGAGGAGGGGTTTCCTCTTCCTCCAGTGCTCGGCTCAGTCAGATGCTGTCCCTGCAGCTTTGGACTGATAAGCTAAGGAATGCTTTTCCCTTATAAACAGTAAGTGCATTTCTGGTCGTCAAGGGTCTGGTGAGAATAAAATTGTACGATGATGTAGGAGCCTTGCCTGTGTGCTGCAGCAGTCTTGGGGGATGGGCCCAGTGCTTGCCAGAATGGATGGTGATTATGTGGTGCGTGTGTGGTCTCTGGAGGGAGGATTGGACAAAAGGTGTATGGGGGGGGGGATCGCAAGCCAGTAAATAACATTCAGCGGCTTCTCCCTCTTTGTTGAAACCAACCCTTTGCTTTCCTCATCATTGCTGAAAGAGATTAGTACCTGCCTGTTATGAGTAAATGAATTGACAGCATGACAGTTCTGCATCCCCCACTCCCACCCGGCCACCCCAAATGCTGGCTCTGTCCATGGAATCCCTGGCATGAGTAGAATCCATTCACACAAAGGCTTGTGGGTGCATGTTGCTCGTGATGTCTCTGTGGAAACGTGGTAAATCTTTCTCCTATTTGGAATATTTATTTATTTCATTTTTATCCTGTCATATGTACTAGTTTGGCCTTCATCAGATTGGCATCAGACGCTTTATAATGTTCCAGGTCCCTTGATCTTGTTTTGTATTATCTGCCATATTCCACATTGATATACTGTAACTTTGGACAGGTGACAATTCCAAATTTTGAAAGATACAACTGATATAGGGGAAGAAAAGAATATGACTCTGGGAATATCACTTTTAACAGATGTAGGGAAACTGGAAAAGTTGCAGAGAAGAATAAGATGATGATCAGGAAACTAATAGGTTCCTCCAACAGCTTACTTACTAATTTAGGGATATCAAGATATGTGATCAGGATCCGGGATCCTATTTCACCCTAGAATTTTGCTGCAAATTGAAGGTTTCTAATACAGGTAGTCCTCGACTTACGACCACAATTAAGCCCAACATTTCTTTTGTTCAGTGAGACATTTGTTAAGTGAGTTTTGCCCCATTTTACAACCTTTTTTGCCAGAGTTGTTAAGTGAATCACTGCAATTGATAAGTTAGTAACCTGGTTGTTAAATGAATCTTAATTTTGCTTGTCAGAAGGTTGCAAAAGAGATCATGTGACCTTGGGACACAGCAACAGTCATAAGTATGAACCAGTTGCCAAGCATTTGAATTTTGATCACACGATCATGCTGCAAAGGTCATAACTGTGAAAAACTGTCATAAGTCACTTTTTTCAGTGCCATTGTAACTTTGAGAGGTCACTAAATGAATTGTTGTAAGTCGAGGACTACCTGTACTTATATTGGAAGCAAAATGGCTGTCTCTGTCAGATGTAAGAAAGTATTTCTGGGATAAACACTTCTATACTAAGGTGACAGATGATTCAGAAATTAATATATTTATACAAAATACCTGTTGGAAAGAGTTGTACGGCTCTTTAGAACCATATAGTTCTTCTTTGCTCTAAAGGAGAGTCAGCAGTCAAGTAATAATTTGATTGTATGGTTGCTTCCCCCATCTTGATTGGGTTGAACTTCAGCTTTCTCCAAATATTGGTTGGGATGACTGGAGTAATTCTCCAAAATAGCTTCAAGGCAGCAGCTTGGGGTAAGTTACAGCATTAAATGCAAAGCTTGATGTCTATTGAAATTCAATTAAATGAAAAGTCACAACTATGCACAAATATACAGACACCCTTTCTTACATGCTTTATGTTTTTCTTGATTATGTATCCTTTCCTCCTTCCAGAGTGAAGAAGTTGAAAGATACCTTTGCTTTCATACAACAGCTGGACAGAAACATGAGTCATCTTCACACGTGGCTGGCACGCATTGAATCTGAGCTTTCTAAACCTATTGTTTATGACATCTGTGATGATCAAGAAATACAGAGGAGACTTGCAGAGCAGCAGGTAGGGTGGAAAAAAGTAGAACTGAAAGAGTTTGGCCAGTGTTTATCTCGATTAGTGTTCCTGGGATCATTCCCTTCTTTGTAAATCTGTGTTATATATTCCTATTTCCAAGAGTTTGGTAATGTTTTTATTATTTGAATTTCATGCATCGTCTTCAGTAATATATTATAGCACCAAGAATTGTCTACAGACTCAATATGCACCCCAATCTAGTCACACACAAAAAATACTGAATGGGGAATACTCTCTAGCAGTATATCTAACATAGAATACTGAAGTAGAACCTCTAAATTTTAGACACAATTTATTGAAGAACAAATGCAGAACAAACAACTAGGAATGCTGCTGTTTTTATGCCCTGCTTGTAAACTTTAGAGGTATATGTTGGTCTACTGTACCTAGCAAAATGTTGAGTTAGATCATTCTATTAGTTTCATATAGCAGATCTTGTAGTCCAGAAAACCAATCACTTTACTTGGAAGGCCTATAAAAAATTAAAAGTGTCCAAGATTTGTAGTTTTCATTGAGTGCTTTAGGTGTCTGAATCATGAATTGCTGTGGTCAGCTCCCACCTTGTCTCTATAAAATAGGAAAGAGAGAGAGAAAATCCATTGAGAAGTTGTCTTAGACATTAAATGAAAGAAAGCTCCGTAGAAATACTTATATTCATGCAATCTGCAGTCTTTTCAGTGGGTCTTGACCAGCAGAATGCCTGGATACGTTGTGTTGCATTGGTTCTGTCTGCCCTGTGGCCTTCTAATTTAATCGATAGGATAAGGGTTTTAAAGGAAAACTTTACAATGTAGGCTAGATGTTGTTTATTAGTATTTGATTGACTACAAGCAATTGCAAATCATTTATACATTGTTGCTAAGAAAGTTATATGGGCGCATACATGAATTTGCCATGTGTTAAGCTTGATTCAAAGGAGACTAGATTTTTGAGGATATACAGGTAAGGAGGACTGATAGTAGCAGGTAATACCAAGATTGTGAAACTTTTAAGGCATAAGAATAACATTTTCACACAAGAGTTCACTGTTTATAGACTTTTGAAAAATAATGTCTGTGCAGATAGATTATTTGTATATCAGTGCTTTTAATTACAAAAATGCAAAGGGGGAAGTGCAGTAGCAAGATGTCACTATGCACAGGATGATATAGTTTAATATTTTAATATACTTATTTAATTAAATGTTTTAATTTTCCTCCATAATAACCTCCATAATAATAAATAATGTAATGTTAAGGAGAAAACTTAGATTGCCACTATTGGGTTATATGTTCAGCTTCTTGTTTGAAGAGTATATGTACTTATTTGATCTCTTATCAGCAGTCTGTCATAACTAATCATATGGCTAATATATAACAATCGTTAGGAAAGTCTTTTGGAATATGGAATGATCTTCCAATGGCTTCTTCTATTGTATTGTATGAAACTAATACTATAACTGGAGATGACTTTATGCTCATGGATGTAGGACCTGCAACGGGATATTGAACAGCACACAGCAGGTGTGGAATCAGTCTTCAATATATGTGAGATCTTGCTGCATGATTCTGATGCTTGTGCCAATGAGACCGAATGTGATTCAATCCAGCAGACAACAAGGAGCTTAGAAAGGCGGTGGAGAAACATCTGTGCCATGTCTATAGAGAGGCGTATGAAGTGAGGCATTATTTCTCTTCTTCCTCAAAAAAAAAAAATCCACATTAGTTTTATAAACAATGTATGAAAAGTCCAAATAATCTATTCTTGAAAGAAAGAACAGATAAGTAATTTACTGTGTAGGAAACATTAGTTCATGCTACAGTTTATTCATTGGTCTCTGTTTCATTCTCCATATAAAAAGAAATTATGGGAAAATCTCTATCTGAGATATTGCTCTAGTTTCTAAATAACTCTAAACTAAAAACCTCAAATCTAAGGAAATAATATAATACATTTATTGTCTGATATGAGGGAATGTAAATGTTAATGGTTTATTCAGTTCCTTGCCCTTAGATGCAGTAACTAAAGCTAGAATAAATTATTTAAAATGTTTAAATGCTACAGTAGATATTATACAAAAATGACAAACTTAACATTTGATTATCTTACATACTTTACCTAGGCTACAAGGTAAGATTTTCCAGGCACAGAACATTTACTACAATTATATATTTGGTATATACATTTTTCTGCCATTGATGTGTTGGCATATGTCTCTGGAAAAATGCCAGAATGCAAACCAAGACCTGAATGCACTTTTTTAGTTGAGTTGAGTATAGCTCATTTGATTGGATTTGGATTGGATTATTGGATTTCATTTGGTTCAGTTTAGATTGAAACATAAATGAAATTTGGTGCAGGACATGTCTTGTAGAAAGGGATTCATATTTGGAAATAAACTGTTGCTGCTTGTTTCTGCAATAGGATTGAGGCAACTTGGCGACTATGGCAAAAGTTTTTGGAAGATTACTCTCGTTTTGAAGTTTGGTTGAAAACAGCAGAGAAAACTGCAGCCTATCCCAACTCTTCAGAGATTTTATATGTAACTGCCAAGGAAGAGTTGAAGAAATTTGAAGTAAGAACTCCTTTTGTAGTTTTTCCATCTTTGTGTATAGATGCCAATTAGGTAAATTTTCTAAATTTCAATATCAAACATATCTTATATTTTAATTTTTCACTTTTCTTGGGTAGCAGCTTTCCTACTCAGTATTTTGAATGCATTAATTTTAAATCACTTGGAAAAAATAATATAAAATACATTTTTTTTCCTCAGGCATTTCAGCGGCAAATTCATGAGCGACTAACCCAGCTAGAATTAATCAATAAGCAATATCGGCGGTTGGCTCGTGAGAATCGCACTGATTCAGCTAACAAGCTCAAGCAGATGGTTTATGAGGGTAATCACCGATGGGACAATCTTCAGAAACGTGTCACAGCAATTCTCAGGAGACTTAAGGTAGTTGCAAACAGGTTTGGAGATAAAGCAGGTATCAGAGGTCTACATCAGAGACCCCCAACCTTTTAGGCACCAGGGACCAGTTCTGTGGGGAGAGGTTTTTCCGTGGACCGGAGGGGGCATGATTCCGTGTGGTGCCTGCATCCCATGGATGGGCTTCACTTGTTTGCACGGCCCGGTTTCTGGCATGCCATGGCCCGGTACCAGTCCATGGACCGGGGGTAGGGGACCTCTGGTCTAAATAATGTGTTCTTAAGGAACAAGAGGGAGTGTCTGTTGAATTCTGTAGTGCAGTGTTGGCAACTTTAAGATACAACTCCCAGAATTCCACGACCAGCAGGCATCTTAAAGTTGCCAAGGTTGAGAAACACTGCTGTCGTTGAACCATCACCATGGCATTCTGAATTCCCAGGTGAAAGTATTTCAGTTCTATCCTTACTCAAAGTTGCACAGTTAGAGAATTGTAGTATCTGAGATCAAATTGGTGTAGTTTTGTGGTTAGTATAGCAATAGCACTTAGACTTATATAACACTCCATAGTACTTTACAGTATTCTCTGAGTGGTTTATAATGTCAGCATATTGCCCCCAACAATCTGGGCCTTCATTTTACTGACCTCGAAAGGATGGAAAGTTGAGTAAAGCTTGAGTCAGTCAGGGTTGAACTCTAGGCTATGGACAGAGTTAGCCTGCAATACTGTATTCTAACCACGATACCATGAGGGCTCTTATAGTCTCCCTACAGGCATTGTATATTAGAGAAAGATCAAAATGTCCCGGGTTCAAATCCATACTTTGCTGTGGAGTTCGCTGAGTGATTTTAGTCAGTTAACAGCCTCCTGATTGTAATGTGCTGTGCTTGACAGTTATAAACTGAAGGTGGGTAATCTGGTCCCTTCCAAATGTTTTGGATGACAACTTCTGAAGTCCTTTACCATTGGCCTTGCTGATTGGGTCTAATGGGAACTGAAGTGCAAACTATTTGGCATGTAGTATGTTATCTAACTTTGTGTTAAACAAATTATTGTTATTGTTAACTTATTTGGATGATGCTAATATTTCCAATGCTTATAGAGAAGTTAATACTTATGGACATTTTTTAGCTTTAATAAAAGACTTAGAAAGGTTCATAGGCAAATGAATAATGCTGGGATTTAACAACTATAAATCGATCACAAAAGTGACTCTGCCTCAATTTTCCAACCCTTCTAATGTGCACGAGACCTTGTTTAATATACTTTAAACTAGAGGGTTTTTGTTATACTATTCCTTTAGCATTTGTTTTATTTGGAGACATTAGAGATTCAGTCTACTACCTCTTGCATGCACAAACTTTGATTCAGTCCTGAATTTAAATCATGAGGAGAACTAAATATGATTAGAAGGTCAAACTAAGTAGCAGGAGATTCAGCTTCAAATCCTTTTTAGTCATTACATTCATTAGACCAGTCATACACAGATTCAAGCTTAACTGTCTTATAGGATTGTTGTGAGCCATGCAAAAGAATTTTGTATACTGCTCTAAACTCTTTGGCAGAGAAGAAAAACTAAATCTAATCATTATATTTATATAATTAACTAACAACATTTGAGTGACCTTAATCAGAAAGATTACCAGATATGCTTTGTGAAATTTACAGCTTGAGATACAAGCTAGAGTTAATGAATTCTCATTTTTGCTTCATTGGTTCCTGATATAGCACATCAACACACTTTAAGATGTTAATAAATAGCAGATTTTTAAGGACAGTGTGTTTTATAACAACTATTGCATTGAGTATCTGTATTATTTTATTGCCTTTAGCACTTTACCAATCAATGGGAAGAATTTATGGGAACAAAGGACAACATCATCCTGGTGTGGTTAACGGAAATGGATCTGCAGCTGACAAATGTGGAACATTTCTCAAAGAGTGATTTTGATGATAAAATGCGGCAGCTTAATGTAAATATTGACTTTTTTTTTAAAAAAAGGAAATTGTTCCATAACAGATTGGGGGAGATGGGTTTCAGACGTCCTACTGATTATCTGAGCCTGGTGCTTGTATTTGTATTTGGTGCTTAGTATATCTACTAAATTCACTTAAACTCTTTGATAGGAGCCCCATAAATTTAAAGAACACTATTTAATCTGTTCGCTGTCTAAATAAAACAAAGCTACATTTAGGATATCTGTAATAATAAGTTTGAGGTCTCTTTTATATCCAGAACTGATCAGTCCTTTCTCGCCATCACTCGTGGCCAGTCCGGTTTAATTCCTTCTTGGTTACTGCAACATATGAGATTAGGAAATCCATGCTTGATATTAGCAGGACCATTCTTGTATCACAGTAAAAAAAACAATTAACTTCACTTATATTGTCTCTATTGGGCTGATTTCCCTTGTCCAGCTCTTGTACTCACCATCAATAAAAATCTTAGGTATTTTATAGCTTTCACCTTTGGTTTTGGCATTCAAGAGGCTATACCATTGGCTTAAGAAATTAAATGACCCTAGGAGCCTCAGCTTTTTATTTGTATATTGTAGGTGATTCCCCCAATAATTCCACCAATTAAAGGACTTCTAAATGGCTGATAAGGAGCAATAATTTAATTTATTCAATTTAATTTGGCTGCTCACTCCAAAAGTTTCTGGATGCTTACAAAATCCATATAAAGAGTAAAACAATTAAAATCCACAAAAACAGGCAGCCTGGACTGAAACAACTAGAGCAGCGGTTCTCAATCTATGGGTCGCGACCCCATTTGGGGTCGATCGACCATTTCACGGGGGTCGCCAAGCAAGGCTGTCCGCCATTTTTTTTCCCTTTTTCGGCGGGTGCCTTACCTCCCTTGAGCTGGGCCAGCTGGTGGTCGGCCTGCTCTGTCTCTGCCGCTTGCCAGCTACACCTCAGGGGGCGGAACCACGTATGCGCGGCGCTCCCGGGCAGAGAAAGTCCTCGACTTACGACCGGTTGGGTAGTCCTCGACTTACGACCGGTTTAGTCCTCGACTTACGACCGGTTTAGACCTCGACTTACGACCGGTTTAGACCTCGACTTACGACCGGTTGGGGGTCGCGGCATTAAAAAGGTTGAGAACCACTGAACTAGAGCAAACAGTACAAAAAGACTATGATATGAGTTCAACCAATAAATTATATCCATATTAAACTCCGTCTAGGAACATAATACAAAAAACAAAGATTTGTGTGTATGTGTGTGCACATCCCTCCATCAATGGTAACTTCAATATAGATTTCATTGGAGAGGTTCAAGCTATATACATATTTCTTTGTGCACAAAAATCTGTTTAAATTAATTGGGAAGGATATTTGTCTAGGAATTTGTCAAGGGATTCTACCAGATTTAGAGAGTATTCTCCATTAGCATTTGGCCAAAGCTCACATATAATCAAACACAAACCAGAAATAGTTTATTGGAAGCAGCCCCAAATTCCAACTGCTCAGCGGTTCCCAGAAAGCAAGGCTTTCCTCTTGTGTATCTCTGTAAGTGAGGAAGTGTACATATTCCTTATGCTTTGGGCTTGACCGTGTCTCTTAGCCTTTGTTTTTTGGGGTTCAGAAGGCTAGTTTGCCAACCACATCTTCTTTCTCTCAGCAAGCACCTGAAAGATCTAGAAAGCAATTTGCATCCCAAATCAATTAAAAAACAAACTAGTGAATCAGTTAATAAATTAATATTTCTGTACTCAGGGTTAGAGAAAACTAATAACTTTAGAGAAGGCAAAACTTTTCTTGAAGAGTGGACATACAGCTTTATTTGCTTTATCTATCTTGAGTTCAGCAAACTTTTCCATGCTGAAATATTCTGTGCTTCTCCTTATATGTTCCTAACCTCTCTTTATGAGATTGATTAATCTGAATTGCACTAATTAATTAATCTGTGCAGTAATACTTAGGAATTATAATTATCTGTCTTTTAAACAGGGTTTCCAGAGAGAAATAATGCTAAATACCAGTAAGATTGATCATCTGATTGCTTCTGGGAAATATCTGATTCAAAAAAGTGAACCAGAGGATGCCATTATACTCGAAGAGGAACTAGAAGAATTTTGTAGTTACTGCCAGGAAGTGTTTGGCCGAGTAGCCCGATTCCACCAAAGACTGACATCCTGGCACCCAGTAAGAGCTAATGAAGTTGTATCTTTGCTGGAAGCCATGTTGTTTCTTTGCCAATAGATTCATTTTCAAAAGCCACGTAGATAAAGAATAAAAGGAATGGAAGATGTATTCTCCAAACTTCCAATAATTAAAACACTGTTTTTTCCAAGTTAAGGAAAGGGTTATTATTATATGCAAACTGTTTTTTCTTTGATTCCAGGGCACCTGGAATCTAAGCAGGTAGGGTCTAATTAATGATTAGATGTAGATCATCTCTGCTTTGAATTCTAAAGAGAAAGACTATATGTATGCATTTATGTATGTGGATGGGTGTGTGTGTTTATGTGTGACAAATTAAACAAATTAAACTTTAGAAGATGGAATAAGAACACTTTGTTCTAATTAAAGGACAGGTTATTTATTTTAAAAGGTTTTAGCAAGATTTAATCTCTAACAGGCTTACAACTTTTTGTTTCTTAAGGAGAATATTCAGTGGCAGAAGAATCTAGACCTAAAGAAGAAAAGATATTAGAACTAGGAGGGATGTAGGCTTATGGTAAATGCTTTGGTAAATGAGATCTTGTTCTATCACCCTTCTCTCTTGCCTCCCTCATCTCTAACACAACTATTAACTTACTTGATCTACCATTTCATTTTGGGAAATGCAAGGCAGTTAGAAATTGAGAGAGAAACTGACTTTCTTTCTTATTTTGCCCCCATGTCTCTTGTAGACTGTAACAAGGGTCCACATGTGGACCTTTATTTTAGAAACAATACCTTTCCACCAACATCTACATCCAGAAGTTATACTACTGAAAAGTGGTGGGTGTGCCACCAAATGTCAGAAGCATGTCTGGTGACCATTAAATGGAATTTTGATCATAGATTGCCTTTCTCCTTCATAAACAATATCTTCATTCATATATCACTGCTAAGAAACTAGCATTTGATGGATGGTTTAAATGGTTTAGAACAGTGTTTCTCAACCTTGGCAACTTTATGATGGGTGGACTTCAACTCAGTTTGGCTGGGGAATTCTGGGTGTTGAAGCCCATCCATCTTAAAGTTGCCAAGGTTGAGAAACACTGGTTTAGAAGAAAGAAGGGAGTAGGTAACTAAGAGTCTGTTATAGTTGGGCAGCTAATAAATTCAAATAAGTAATCCTACTTTGGAGGATTCCCATTTTTCTTGAACATTGAGAGCACAAAGTAGTTTCAGAAGTAATTCATGTTAATAGTTGTGTTCGATATCAGTATTTCTGTTGTCTTGTTGAGGGACTGGAAGACGAAAAAGGGACTTCAGAAAATGAAGCTGATTCAGACTATACAAGCGGGATGCAAACTGATCCTTGGCCAAAGAAGATAGTCCAGGAGGGGCCACCCTCGCAGCAGTCTCTCTGTCACATCCTGCCCACCACAGGGGGTCCCGAGAGGTCTGGCTGCGAGACCCCTGTCAGCGTTGATTCCATTCCACTGGAGTGGGACCACACCGGAGATGTGGGAGGCTCTTCCTCCCCTGAGGATGAGGAAGAGGATTCATTCTTCAGCGCACTGTCAGGTAAATTCCAACCCACCCTCCTATCCAGAAATGTTAATACTCACAAATACACAAACAGTTACACAATCCAAATACACAAAAGCAGTTACCTAGCTTTTAATTAAAATGTAATTAAAAAATACAATTCTGGGTTGCATAATCAGAGGCATAGAATCAAAATCACGCAAAGTATTAGTATTGCTTTATAAAACCCTAGTGAGACCACACCTGGAATACTGCAACCAATTTTGGTCACCATACTACAAAAAAGATGTTGAGACCTTGGAAAAAGTTCAGAGAAGAGCAACTAAGATGATCCAAGGCCTGGAGACTAAAACATATGAAGAACGGCTGCAGGACTTGGGTTTGGCTAGTCTAAAGAAAAGAAGAAATAGGGGTGACATGATAGCAGTATTCCAGTATTTGAGAGGCTGCCACAAAGAAGAGGGGGTCAAATTATTCTCCAAAGCACCAGAGGGCAGGACAAGAAACAATGGTTGGAAACTGATCAAAGAGAGAAACAACCTGAAATTAAGGAGAAAGTTCCTAACAGTGAGGACAATTAACCAGTGGAAGAGCTTGCCTTCAGAAATCTTGGGTGCTCCAACACTGGAGGTTTTTAAGAAGAGACTGGGCAGTCACTTGTCTGAGATGGTATAGGTTCTTCTGCTTGAGCAGGGGGCTGTACTAGAAGAACTCCAAGGTCCCTTCCTGTTCTATTCTATTCTATTCTATTCTATTCTATTCTATTCTATTCTATTCTATTCTATTCTAATCTAATTTTGAACCCTCAGCAATTGAGCTTTGTTGTGCTTCAAATTTAGTCATACCCATTTTATATATTACACAGAACAAGATGGAAAAGTAAAATGAAAGCTATCCAGACCTAAGAATTAAAGACAAATTTATTCGGGTTGCCTTAAAATGCAATGTTGCAAATTAAAATATAATTCTAATAATTTGCCCTATGAGAGCCAGTGCAGAAACTGAAATACAGTAATTTGTCAGTATTCATCCCCTAAAGCAAGAGTGTCAAATTGCCAGCCTGCAGGCTGGACGCGTCATGAGGAAACCGCGCCCACCCCATTGCTGGCAACGGGGAAAAAGTTATGATATGTTGCGCGACGTCACATGACATTGCGAGTTTGACATGTCTGCCCTAAAGATTATACTGTAATGCTGTTCTCCAATGAAAAAACTATACATATCTGGGTGTTAGGGGAGAATAGATATAAAAAGATATATTAGACATACAAAAATGCATTATAACACATAGATTGTCTACAAAATCAGAACACTAGGCAGGACAAAAAACCATATATTAGAAAAAATGGGATAGAATTAGGATGAGAGTGGAAAAATTAAGAATAGATAGATGGTGAAATGAACGTATTTATTCGTCATATCTGAACTGAACAATTTCAGTTCTACAACTGTGGAGAATATAATATTTTTGAAGGAGAGGAGAGGTTCTCAGCTTGGCAGTAAACTATACCTGACATGTTGACTTGAAATATTTTTATTTGTAACTCTGGAGAGCCACTGTTAGTCATATTGTACTGTGCTGCATAATATTGACAAATAGACCAGCTATAAATTAATTTGCTTATGTTGGTAAAGCATCATTGCATGCCAAAAACTACCACATCAAGTGAAAAATTTAGCATAGTCCTTCCTGATATGCTAGTTACTTAAACCAGAGAACATGTTATGCTGATAAATGTGTAGGGGGAAAAATGAACTGTTTCTCTTTCTGTATCTCAACTCCTTTTTTGTTCAGTTTGTACTTATTTATTTTCTTTATTAATCAAATCTACGCACTGCCTTCTTACTATCTAAGTGACTCAGAGTAATTTACAAATTACTTTCAGAAAAGCTTTAAATGCGTAGATAGGAAAGCAAGAAGTAATTGTGAGGGGGGAAAAAACACTGTGTAAATATTTCACCCCCGTAGAGGTTCTGGTTTTCTATTTCCCATGTGGCTCTTCCCAGATAGAAAATCAAGTGGAAAATACTGTGAACTGGGTCAGTCAATGTGCCTGGGTAGGATACGCTGTATATATGTATTACTTAAGGAGAAAGTGATCCTTCTCCCTTAAAGCATTTGCAGTTGTCTCAAATATTTTTTTAAAATATTTCAGAAGGCATTTTTAACATATGAATGTGGCTTTCCCTGATCAGAGCCTCGCTGCAATCATTGTTTGAAAGCCTTGTATTTGGGTCTTTTGAAAACTTTCTGATATCAGCAAACATTGGAGGAGACAGAAATCATAAACATAATAAAGGAGAAACCATCGAAGGCCTTTGCCCATTTATTTATCCCCTTTACCTATATACTTAGTGGCCTTTTCTTCTTTTACCTTTTCTTCTTGGAACTATTAGGAAAATTAACAGTTTTAAAAGGATAGCAAAAAGAGATGAACAGTGAATATTTTTATAAGGCCATATAGCTAAATGGCTGTTGCCTTTATACTTTACTTCAGGGCATTTTGACCACTAGTTGTATTTAAAAAAAGAATGCTAAATTAATAGATATGTAACAGGATCCATCTGGGGCTGCTGTAATGCTACATTCTTGTAGGGTGGGAAGGGAAGAGTGAACAGACTCTTTTGCAAAGCAAATGGTGACGTTATTCTTTTTTCAGATGTAGAAATCAGTGAACATCCTGAGGCATATCTTAAAATGACCACAAAAGCTTTGAAAGCAGCTTCTGGTAGGCACCTGCTACTGCATGTGTCTCAACATGACAGTTTCCCTGTGCCGCACGCTGTGCTCTTCACACCTTCCTCATATGCAGGTTTCTGATTCCCTAGCTTGTATCAACACCATGCACCAATTGGCTCATGGTGGATTCTCTTTTTTGTTTTGTTTATTTAACGCTACACCATCCCCACATGTCTCTACCTAAGTTAAGACGATGCATTTTTTGTTCTCCATACCGGTATAAACGCATCAAGGCCTTCCTTGTTTGTTCCTCACAATGTGGCATGCATCGACATTTTTGCTGGTTCATTTCACTCATAGGACAACTTAGCTTTACTTTAAAGCTCCCTTTGCCATTCAGTTTAGGGTCTGACAGGACAATCTGGATCTTTCCTTATATCTGTAGCACAAAACAAATGAGAACTCATTACTCTTTAGCAAAAACTAAGGTTCAGATCCCTTCTTGAATGGAACCTGATACAAATGTGAAAATCTTTATTGACCAATCACATTCTCAGCCCAAGAAGCTGAATATATTTTGATATTTCAGACAGAAAAATTGAGTGGCATCTCTCTAAAAGTCTAATGGTAAAAAAATATAATACACTAAATTAAGTACCATTAGGTGACCTATAATGCAATCCCCAAAGCTGCCTCCTGAAATAAGCTACCTCATTCTGCTTACTGCTGGCGCCATGCATCAAGCCTAGAAGCGCTTTTCAACCTTTTCCAAACTCTTCTTTTTGATGGTGGTAAGAACTCACATATTCTTTGGGCATTTTTGGAAAAAAATATCCTCATAACTGCATGGCTCTCATTTCACTGCCCATGAAACATTGCTGAAACATGTTTGCAAACAAGCATGCTTTGCAAAGCAAATGGCAATATTATCCATTTTTTGTCATGTCATCCTTCCTTCTCTGCAAATGCTTTTAATTATTTTTCTCCCTTCACCCTTACATCTAATTTTCTGTGGCTTTTTCTTTTACCATGTCGCACAACAGGGAAATCTGCTGAAACTCACATATGGCATCCTTCAGAACACCCAGTTTGCCGAAAGCATTCATACAACCAGGAAGAGATGGTTAGAAGTATCTTACCAAACAACGAAGAATCCAGCATATCCTACAAACCAGGCAATGTAAGTCTGGAATGTTTATATATCATGAGAAAATAGGGTTAAATTAGCTGGTAACAGACAGGCTAAATTATATGTTACACATAAGATAGTGGAGATTTTTCAAGACAAGAAAATTCGGAGAGTGGGATATAAAAATTATGTTCCATTTATAAATTTCTCAATTAGTTTAGATGGCTGTGAATCTGTGCTATAAATTTGAGAAGATGATCCATTGCCAAAAGATTTATTTACTTTCTGATCTGGGTATTTCAGGTGAGCCCTAGGAATATAGATGACATAAAAAACATTTCCAGGATCTTGCCTAGTAAAGATTCTCAAGACAACCAGAATTCCATTGGTGTTTCAGCCATAGAGAAACAACCAGGTATGTTAGCTATAATTCCTGTTAATTTTTTAAATATATTTGTTTACATGTGAAGGTAGCAATTATTTAGGATTTAATTTTTCTCCATGTAATAACATCATCAATGTTAAATTTCTCTTAACTGAAAAATGGGAAATAAATAAATACATAAATGTAAGCTCCTTAAATCTCAACAGAGAGAGAAAAGGAAGGGGAAAGAGGCAACTGTAATATGAATACATGCTATTAATTTAAAATACAACCATCAGAATATCTAATATACAACAGAAAGATGGTCAAAGAGATGAGAAAACTGAAATTAAGATGAAAAAAGCAAGGGAATATGACAGAAAAAAACAAGCATTTATCAGACCAAAGATCTCCCAAAACTCTGAGATGTTCAACTTAACAACTGTCTAAATGGACTTCCCAAGTGACAAACATTTATAATCTAAGCTTTACAAAGGAGAAAGGTCTATTTATATGTTCTTATTGCTTCTACTCCAGATTTGGTAAGATAGAAAGTACCCTGAGTAAGTAGTTGGGAAGAAGCACATTAAATAAAATAGTCCTTCTGATCCCAAGAGTGTCTCTGCCTTTATTTCTGGCTTAATGTTCACACATAGGAGAATTAGGCTGGCAGAATCCAGAGGTAATATAATAAATTTCTATTTTAGAATAATCCTTCCCCTAAATCAGGGGTCTTCAAACTTGACTTGTGGACTTCAACTCCCAGAATTCCTCAGCCAGGCACACTACCTGAGGAATTCTGGGAGTTGAAATCCACAAGTTATAAAAGGGTCAAGTTTGAAGACCCCTGTCCTAAATAAACTTTTTGGAAGTTAAACTATAAAGAGCAGTGGGGCAATTTTGCATGTTTTCTATGTGTAGGAAAAATGTATTCATGGGACAAGTCAAAAATAAGATACCCCACACTAATGTTCTGAAGGCTATATAACCCCTTTCTACCATCTAACAATTCTCATCTCCTCATCTCAATTTACCACGCTTGCAAATGAGTTGTGAAAATGTTATGATTACAAAAAAAAACTATAATGTATTTACTGTAATACTAATAGAGCAGAGGTCTTCAAACGTGACCCTTTTATGACTTATGGACTCCAACTCCCAGAATTCCTCAGCCAGGCATGCTGGCTGAGGAATTCTGGGAGTTGAAGTCCACAAATCATAAATGGGCCACATTTGAAGACCCCTGTAATAGAGACACAGCCTTTAAAATGCTATCCTGAAATTGACTCAGATTTCATTCTCATATTGTAATAAGTATTAGCGTTTGTGGGACTAGTATAAGTTGAATTCAAAAGAGACCAGCGTCTGCCCAAAATAATGTTGATCTGACTCAAAGTTACTGTTTTTTTAAAAAAAAAAAAACTGAATAATTTTGTATTAAACTTCAGGGGCTATTGAAAGATGGGAACTCATTCAAGTTCAAGACCTAAGCAACAAGCTGAGAATGAAGCAAACATGGCAGCAGTGGCAACAGCTGAATGCTGACCTTACCAACATTGATATTTGGCTGGATAAGATGGAAGAGGAAATGGAGAGGTTGCAGGAGGCAGAACCACAACCAGTCAACAGTATGCAGGCCATAGAGCAGAGAGTCAAGAAACTGAAGGTGATAAAAAAAAAAGTTGAAAAAGAAAAACAATCTCTGTGCTCAACATATGCAGCATATTGCTTGTTCCGACAGATTGCCTAGCCTTGCAACCTTTTTTTTTCAAAAGTAGATAATCAGATGTTAAGTGAATTTTGCCCCATTTTATGATCTTTCTTGTCACAATGCTACAGTTGTTAAGTGCATCTGAATTCCCCGTTGATTTTGCTCTCCAGAAGTTTGCAAAAGATAATCGCATGACCCGGGGACACCGCAACTGTCATAAATACATGTCAGTTGCCACATGCCACGTGACCATGGGGACGCTGCAACAATTGTGTGAAAATAGTCATAAGTCCCTTTTTTTCAGTCTCGTTGTGATTTCAAAAGGTCACTAAATGAATGACTGTAAGTTAAAGACTACCTGTAGTCCCAAAAAAGTGCTGTCTGTGCACGTGCATGCAAACAACGCAAGCTGCGAATTCCCTCATTCACACCCTTGGTGCAGTCTTTGTCTCTGGATGTTGCATTTTCTCCATTCTATAGAGGTAGTCCTCGACTTATAACAGTTCATATAGTGACCGTTCAATGTTACAATGGCACTGAAAAAAATGACTATGACTGTTTTTCATAGTTCCGATCTTTGCAGCATCCTTATGATCATGTGATCAAAATTCAGATGCTTTGGCAACTGGCTCATACTTACGAACATTGCAGCATCCCGGAGTCATGTGATTCCCCCTTTTGCAAACTTCTGGCAAGCAAAGTTAATGGGAAAGCCAGATTCACTTAATAGCCAGGTTACTAACGTATCAGCTGCAGTGAATCACTTAACAACTGAGGCAAGAAATGTCATAAAATGGGGCAAAACTCATTTAACAAATGTCTCACTTAACAACAGAAATTTTGGGCTCAATTGTGGTCGTAAGTCGAGGACTACTTGTGACATGCTGATGACAGTAGGGCTCTTTTGAGTCAGAAGTCCATCTGAAAACCACTTGATACAAAAAGGACATCCTGAAGTTCAGTCATTAAAAAGCTCTCATAGTATAGCGATAGATTCCAGTGAAATGAATGGATCCAATTTTCACACAGGACTTTACAATAATCAGGATGCCAGTACTAACAATAATAAAATCAACTTTACTAGTTTTAAGGTAGTTTATCAGCTTTTCTGTCTAATTTGTAGAATACACTGTAGAATACTGATAATCAATTTGTAGAACACACAGACAGCCAGTATGGTTTAGCTAAGATGATGGTCTGGGTTGATCAGAGTCCAATCTTAGTCATGGAAAGTCACTGGGTGTCTGGACCAATCACCTCTCAGCCCATCCTCCATCACAGAATTGCTATAGCAGAGAAAATGGTAGAGGAGGTAGCCCTATGAACATTGCATGAGCTCCTGCAGTAAAGGTATATACATCTAATAAATAGAAGGATTTTTTTCCAATTTTATTTTGGTGCTGCTGCTTAAAATCATAATTGCTTCTTATTTATTTTTACAAAGAACTCAAATTTGTTTTTTTTCCTTATCAGGATATGTTTAAAGCCTATAATAACTACAAGGCCCTTATACTGTCCGTTAATCTGACCAGCAAAGATTTCAAGCAAACAGATAGCACTGGATGCAAGGAGCTTCAGAATAGACTTCGACGGGTAAATTTACGATGGGAGAAGGCAAATATTTTACTGGAAAACTGGAAAAAGAATTTACAAAAAGCTCTCATTCATTGCCAGGTAAATAGCATAATTACGTTTGTACCTTATTCTTAATACTTTAAAATTGATAGGCTAGCAAATGCTGATGTACAGGCAGCCTCAATGTTTGTTCGGCCATCCCAGAAACCAGTCCCCCCCCCCATAGTCACATGATTGCAGTCTAGGCACTTAGCAACAAGTTCACACTTAAAGTCAGTTCCAGTACTTGCAATCATATTAGCCCCATGTTCAACCTTCCCAGACAGCATCCCCAGAAAGTCAATGGGGAAGCCAGCAGGGGAAATCTCAAATCCCTGGCATCAGCCTCTCCTGCCTTTGTACTTTCCCACAGCCCTATGTTGCTTGTGCATCCAACTTGTGCCTCCCATGCAGCCCCTCACGTCGCATGCTCCCCAACCCACATTACATTCCCTTGCACTTCATGCACCCTTCTCAACCCTCACCATGCTTCTTGCACACTACTACTGCACACCCTCCCCAACCCACACTGCACTTCCGCTGCACACCTCTTTGCTTTGTCCCCTCATCCAGCACTAGCTGCTTACCTAAGACTTGCAATTTCCTGCCCTCGTGACTTTCGTTGCGGGAAGTTGGCAGGAAGTTTCCTCATCTAACAACACCCAACAACATGGGATTTGGTTAATTATGACAACTGGAACGGCAGGAATTGCCATTGCTAAGCAATACAGTTACATTTTACGACTGCCTTGCTTAATGATGAAAATTCCAGTCCCAATTGTAAGTTGAGGAGTATTTGTAGTTTTAATGAATCAGCTGCCACAAAGTTACATCTTTAGGTTAGTTAATGTGTTCTTATACCATTATTTTCTGAAAAATGAGCACTTGTTTCTGCAGGATTTTCATGAACACAATCAGAAACTGCTGCTATGGCTGGCTGCTGCAGAGACACGGAGGCACCAAGCACAAGTTAAGGATCCAAATGCTGATCCTCATAGAATACAGGAAAGTCGAAAGGAATTAATGGTAAATTTGAAAGAAAAAAAAACACCAAAACCTGAAGCATCTAGAGATAAATTATTGCATCTCTGTTATATTCAGCACTATGCACTGGACCTCCCTTTGAACAATGGGACTTACTCTATTCCTCACTACAGAGCTCATAAATCTCTTCCATAAATTTCATCAAATCTCCAAATCAGATTTGAAAATGTACAGTAGGAAGCAGACCCTAGATAAACCCAGAAACATATACCATCAACCCGGTTTACCCAGCATGTAATTCATATTATGGCTTATTGTGACTTTGTGTTAGCATGTTGTATGAACCTAGCTGTTCTGGTTTATAAAGTTAGGTTTTAATGGTTTTTTCCCCTTATTTTGCCCATTTCTTTTTTACTTAGTGCTACTTACCTTTTGAAGTGCCCATAGCATGTTTTGCAGACCTATCATTATATCATAGGTCATTCATTCTTGATTTAGAATTATATATAAACAAGGGGTTCAACCAACCATGGTTATTGCAACCCATTGTCTATTTAATGTACGGGTCCAGGTACGGTTGACTCACATGTATTTGATTGGATGTTGGAATCCCAAGCATCTAGTTTTGGCTTTTTGGCATTGGAATCCTGTTTGGTATCCTAATATATGTTTAATTCATATGAAGCAAAATTCATTGGAAAGTACTGTTATATTGTTTGCGTGTATAAAGTCCAGATGTTCAGCTGCATCTCTAATTCAAGAATCTCCTGCAAATACTACAATCAGTCAGAGTGAGGCGAGTGGATGAACTAGTGGTATGATTCTCTAGGAGGCAGCTTCCTATGGTTATTAATGTTTCCTCTTACATACTTTTAAGCAACTGGAAAAAGAGCTTCTGGAACGGCAACTTCAAGTAAATACTCTCCAGGAAATTGCTGCATATTTGCTTGTAAAACTTGATGGAGAAGAATATATTGAAGCTAATGAGAAGGTCCATGTTATTGGGAAGAAGCTTAAACAGCTTCTTGAAGGAGTTTCATGTGACTTAAAGGCCTCACAAGGAAGACAGGTAGGCTGGACTGTATGATCCAAATCTGATTACTTCAATTCTAACTTTGGAGAAATAACAGAGGCAAGGCTTTCTTCTTGTTGTTCCCCCCTAGGACATAAGTACATTTCAGGTGAATGGGGAAGAATTGGATTCTGGAACCTGTCATCAATTATCAGAGAAATCTCCTGTTTCTAAAAATAAGGCAAGTTGTTTGGTGGTCATTTTGTAAAACAATTTTCCCTTTAATTTGTTTCTTTTTCTCTGTCATTCAGACTTTATAGATAGTCCTCAACTTACAATCATGCATTTAGTGACTATTCAAAGTTACAATAGCACTGAAAAAAGTGACTTATGATGGTTTTTCACACGACCATTGCAGCATCCCCATGTTCACATGATCAAAATTCAGATGCTTTGCAACTGGCATGTACTTATGACAGTTGCAGTGTCCTAGGGTCATATGATCACCTTTTGCGATCTTCTGACAAGCAAAATTTCATTTAACAAGCATGTTACTAACGTAACAACTGCAGTGATTCACTTAACAACTGTGGAAAAAAGGTAAAAAAAATGTGGCAAAATTGATTTAACTGTCTTGCTTAGCAATGGAAATTTTGGATTCAATTGTGGTCGTAAATCGAGGAATACCTGTGAATGCTTTTGGGTGCTGACTTTCATGATTTTGCCCACACAATCAAGAAAAATCTATTGTTTGTGTGCATATTAAAGGATACATTATCTATGCTAGTATATTCTTGGGACACCATAATAACTGACAGTATAGAAACCATAGCAATGGGGGGTGGGATGCATTGTACAGCCATAATACTGCAAAGCTGACTGGATTAATATGCAGTTTAAATGTGTGTGCATTTGGTATCTTTGGTGTTTAAATTTAAGACAGCAGTAGTAATCACATTTTAAATATCTACAGGTTGATGAAAAGAAGATCCTGCAGAGTAATAGCAGCAGCAGTGTCAGGTAATGCTTTTCAGTAAACAGTTTCTTCTGTGAACTGAAAATTAGTATCACGATCTTACAATAGCTTTAGACTCCAATAAGAAATATTGATTATTTGAATGCAAATTTGCTTAGCTGTAGGAAATGCTGAACAACTTAGGATCATGTAGAAAGAAGGAGAGGTGATGTAATACTTCCCACCCACCCCCCAAAAAATCCCCAACGGCTCCAATGGATGAATGAATATTTGCATTTTTCTTAAAATAGAAATTCATTTGAGTTTGAATTAAATTCATTGGATTCTCCTTCAGTGACATAAATTGTGTCAGAAATATGGAAGGGAATGAAAGAGTCACTCTTCTCTTCTTCTCCATAGTTCAAAGCATGGTAATTGCATGATCACAATGTCATGTTGAATTCAATTGTTAGACACTAGTTGTATGGTTGCTATAGTGCAGTGATGGCGAACCTTTTAGAGACCGAGTGCCCAAACTGCAACTCAAAATCACTTATGCATTGTCGGGTGCTGGGTGGGTGTGGCCCATTGGCTGGGTGTGGGCCATTGGGTGGGCGTGTCCATTGGGTGGGCATGGCTGCGGTGGTAACGGCAGACTGGGTGGGATTAAAAAGTTCAATCAATCAATTCCAACTTTGCAAGATTTTTTTTCCCCGCGATAAGTTGAAATTGACTGATTGATTGAACCCCTTTTTTTTGCACACGGCAGCGGAGGCCTAAAGTGAAGGCCTAGGACTGGGGTGACAGCACGCGTGCCCACAGAGAGGGCCCTGAGTGCCGCCTCTGGCACTCAGGCACCCGTGCCATAGGTTCGCCACCACTGCTATAGTGTCTAAGCATTTATAGTTTTCACAAGGTATGACTTGTTGAGAAATATTTATGACGCTTACTATTAAAAACCATGGGGTTTGGTGTAGAATTACAAGCATTAATAGTTCAAACCACAAAAATAGTTCATTCTGAAGCAATTCTTAACAATATTTTGCAAGAATTCAATCCAGAAATCGTTTTTGCTGTTTTTGACATTTGGTATGCCAAGTCTTGAAATAGTGCTGCCAGTCAGACAATTTAGGGCTAGATGGAATCATAATCTCACTTGGTACAAGAGAGTTTGTAAATTGTGAGGTCCATGGTGGTCTCTGAACTTGATTGTTTTCTTGCAGATGTTACCAACTAGTTACCAACATCATCAGTGCCAGAAGGAGAGAGGTTTTCTCTCTGTTTATATACAAGTGGCTTGCCCTGTGTATAACTTGTTCTCTGTTTGCAGGATGGAGGAGAAGGAAGAGACCAATTCATTTGCGCCCAAGAAGAATCCTTTCTTCTATCGTGTCCTACGAGCAGCATTACCTTTACAGTTGTTCCTCCTTCTCTTGTTGTTTTTGGCCTCCTTGATCCCTGTCTCGGAAGAAGACTACAGCTGTACTCAAACCAACAACTTTGCTCGTTCTTTTTACCCAATGCTACGATATATTAATGGACCTCCACCAACTTAAAAACACTCATTTTTTTCCCAGTCAGTCAAAATTAATACCTTCCATGGAGTCTTCTTTTTATGCTGCTAAAGTTTGTCCAGAATTTCAGCCCTGACTTCAACCAGGGCTTAACAAGCACTGATGAGTGACATTGACAATATTATGTAGAGATCTCTGTTGCACTCAACAAGAACCAAACTACCAGTAGGAGGCTTCAGCTCTTCTTCTGAGAACATGCTATTACTTCTCATCACCAAGATAAAGATCTTTTAGCAATTTCAGTACTTTGATTGGGTGGGTAAGAGTTGTTAAATACTTAGAGCTTTGTACAGGAAAGCTGTTTCTTTATATTTTTGAACTATAAGCAATGTACTTTATACTTTTTGCACAGTGTGTGATCAATCAGTGATCTTCATGCCAGAAAGAACCAGTGAACACAGAATTTACAAGACTGTGTCTTGTTAGCAAGAAAATAATTTCTCTAATCAAAGATAAATGCATAATTCTTTAGAAGGATCTACTGCATAAGTCCCATTTTAATAGGTAGGAGCTAGAGTTGCACAAAGCATGGCTGCACTATTCTGTCTTTTCCCTTTGTTTTGGTGAGTCTTGCAGAGAACTTCCTGGTGGATTGAACCCATCATTTTTAATGTAAAAAAGAGAACTCCTTTTTCACAGTGGTACTGTGCATGCAGGGAGATCTCTTTCTGTATTTTGCTATTTTAGTGGAAAGATAACTTCAATTTTTAAAATATTTCTTACACTTTAGAATTTTAGGAATCTTACCTATTCAGTTCATGAATATGTATGTTTCCCAGACAGATTTTTATAGTACTTAGAATGTCTACTTTGTCTGATGTCTCCTTTTGTACGGTTTTTATAAAAAAAAAATGAAAGTGCTACATGTAGGTAGCCTTTATTGTTTATAGAGGGTTTTTTTAAAGAAAAAATAATTAGTGTTGATTATCTCACACACAAACAAATGGATTTTGTAGACATGTGGCTTTTTAATCAAACCCATTTATGTCAAATTTTCTTTGAATAACTTACAGCAAGTCAGAAATGATTTATGCAAGGGCAAAATCATTCCTGTGGCCCATACAGCAGTATATATGTGCCCAGAGAATATGGGGCCTCTATCTTCTTTCTCTCTTGATTCTAAGAATTAGCATATGACATTCCTGGACAATTCTGATAATGAATTACAGGAAATTGCAGATCCAAATCAGTGGGAGTCTAGTAGCACTTTTTCTGACTTACAAAATAAGCTCATGGAAGCTTATTTATGTTAGCGGCAAAAGGTGTGAGCAAGCTTCTGATTTTTTAACTACCACAGATTAACCCAGCTCTCCTTCTCTAATGTTTCCAATGGGGAAATTACAGGGAATAAACATAAATAAAAATAAAATACATGCTGGCTCTTGAATGGGAGAGAAGGAGGGAGGACTAAATGGAGAGAGGCTTGTCCTATGGAGACCTACGATGTGCCTTCCATATACAGACAACTCCTATTAGCTTTAGCTGATAACACAACATCTCTTCTTGTCAAAGGCTCTTTAACAATGACTAGCAAAGGAGTTTTTGAATTGAGGCATCAAGAGAGGGACATTGTTTTCTTGTCACTGCATAAGGGCTTCCTGCAATCTTTTTTTGAAAATAGAATGCTGGGTTAGATGCCTTCCTAACTTTCAAGCAGGATGCTGCCTCATCATTAAGAGTTATCACATTTAAAATGAAGTGGAATTCATCTGACAGCAAAAAAAAAAGATTTTATTTAAATCCAAATTACACTGCTTCTGTGTACAATTCAATCATGTTTTCCTCATTAAAATATTGTTAATGTTTGCAATAATTCTGCCTTTGTCTCAATACTTTATAAAATTAAGTTGTCAGAGACAGATGCTACATCTGTTGGTTCCTAAATTAGATGTAACTGTTCCTATCTCAACACTAGAAAGTGTGACCTTGTATTGTCTTACTATAATTAAGTTCTGACCTTACATTCCCATAACAATTGAATCCAGAGACAACCTGACATATTTATAGTCTTATATGTACTTTCTCCTACACAAAACAGATAACAGATATCAGATATCAAAAAAAATTGCACAGGTGATGACTCTGTAGTCCACCAGATGATAGGTGGCCATGACTGTCAACGTTTCTAAGCATTACCTATGCTGATTGGTGGTTAAAGGGCTTAAGGTTTTAGCATCAGGAAGCCCCTCATGGAAGATTTCTTATCTTTAACAAAAATAAAAATAAAAAAACTTGCCACAATTTAGCAAAAAAAACAAACCCTAAAAAGTAATAGCCAAAAAAAGCAAACTATGATTGCAGTTCTATTGTAGTTTGTCTTAGATCAGGAGTGGGGAACTATGACCCTTTTATGATCAGTAAACTTCAACTTCCAGAATTCCTGAGCCAGCATGGGCCATAGTTCCCCATCTTATCTTAGATAATAGTAAGCAGCTCTACCAAAAATTAACATTTGGTTAAGCACTATCCCATTAAAACAGACATGTCAAACTCGTGATGTCATGTGACGTATCAGCTTTTTCCCCATTGCTGGCAATGGAGTGGGCGCGGTTTCGTCGTGATGCGTCCGGCCCGTGGACTGGCAGTTTGACACCCCTGCATTAAAAGATATCATTCCCCTTCCAAAGAAGTAACAGATATAATAATTCAAGGCACCGTTAGATAAATTGTCTCTTTCCTGTCTATATGGCTATTTTTCTCCCACTCATATGGACACAATATTGTAGGATAATGTACAACAACAAAAAGTATTAATTTATAAAAGTCAGCTGCAAATCCACATGATCTTAGAATAGGTCATAAAGAGATCAATCTGTAACTACCTTAAAAATAATGTGGCAATTACCAGATGTCAGCAGGGATTTTTCAAAAACATGTTTTGCCAGAGCAATCTTATCTTATTATCTGATCAGATAACTTCCTTAATAAATTGTGGGGTAGCTGCAGATTTCAATTTGACATTTGATAAAATACCTGCATTCTGAACAATAAGCTAGTTAAGTTGGTGTGACAAATGACTACATAGCTGGCTGAGAAATCAGAGTTAATCAGAATCTTCTTGTCTCATAAATGTGATATCAAGTGTGTCTATAGGATGGTTCAAAAAAAACAAGGTGGGTACAACTGCATGATCAAAGCCTGTTTTTTATTTGCCAATGACCCAGGACTTCATGTGGTCACACCTGTCATCTTGACTCTTATTATCCCCTTAACTCCCAGATGTTTGCAAGAATGAGTTAAGGAAACATACAGACACCCTTTTCAGAAAGTTCTGTAAGATTCAGCATGTGATTTTTTCCTACAGAGGAAAAAGTCAGTTCCTCTCCATCTTCATATGCATCATCCAAAGATTTGACTGCCTATAACTACAAGAAAATGATGGATAGATGGGGGGGAAGTAGAGAGTCAGTTTTATTCCTGCTGACAGCCTGGGTGAATTTCTGCAGGTTTCTTGGCAAGGTTTTTTTGGAAGTGCTATTTGATTCTACCATTGCCTCCTTGCTAGGGGTGAGAGAGTGACTGGCCCAAGATCACCCAGTTGGTTTTGTGCCTAAGGTGGGACTAAAACAAACTCCTGATTTCTAGCCTGGTGCCTTAACTACTAGACTCTCTTAAGGAAGAAAATAAATAAAAATTTACCCCTTTTATTGCCAGTCCCTTGACTCCCTCATTTGACTTATGCTTCCTTAGTTGGATATTTGCCCAATCAAGTTTTTCACCAGCATATGAAATGGTATTAACCTGGTTGGTTTCAAGAAACTGTAAACAAATTAGCAAAATAGTGCAAAATTCAGCTCAGTTCAGAAGCAATTTGCTTCATTTATTCTTTCACCTTTGTGCAGGAAATACAAGGAAACTATATTATCCATACAGTATTTATCCAACAATCCAGGATTGCTTATAAATGTTTAGTGTGTATGAGAGAGAGAGAAATTAAGATGATATTAAAAGAGAAAATTAGGTGTTCAATTAAAGAGCAAAGTCCAAAGGTCCAGTAGATGTCCAAGTACCAAACCAAATATCTCTCCCCATCCCCCAGCTAATGCAAAATCAATGTATGTGAGTTCTTTAGATGGTCAAACAAATCTTGAAAAATTTAATAAGCTAAAATTTGATTGGGGGGAGTGGGGACCACAGAAGAAAAGTGCCTGTTTCAGCTACAACCTCAGAGCATTTCAGCTCAAATGAATGACAGTGACAGTCCTTTCCTTCATTAATCTCAAAGTTGCAGGTTCCAAGGCATAATTAGCAACCTATGTTCATAATTAAAGCTTATTTATCTTGTTTTTCTACACCTAGAAGATTCTACATTAGAAGATTCTAATGGTGCTTCTTGCTTCATGTTTGTTGATTCTAATGAAGATTCCCTAAATCAAGATAGTTCACTACCTTTTTTTCCCCTTTTTCATTTTTTTTTCATTTTTCTTTTGTGCTACTCAGAAGCCCAACATGATTAGCCAGTGTGTTACTGTGTTAGCAATTCTCCATCAGGAATATATGAGACTTCAATGATGGCTGGAGCTGAACTGGGGTCTGGCTTTCCATAATGTACCAACACAATGTTTTATCTCATCACCAGGTTCTCTCCCGGAGGCATTAGCCAGTACCAATTCACTCACGGTGAATTGTAGAAACCTCTCCACTGTCTAAAGGCCCATTGCCAGTCATCCGGAGAACTAGTTGGCCCAGGAGATACTGTAGAATCCTGCAGGGTCAGGTGTCCACACCTCCTACCCTCATTTACTGGGATAACAATAGCCTCCCGAGTTCAGCTGGCTCTGCTAGGCGGTTTCCCTCCACCATGCCACTTCCTTGAAACTAGTAGGGAAGGTTCTGGCATTCCAAATGAAGCTGCTGTCTACTTAGACTAGGGATGGGGAACTATGGCCCTTTTATGACTTGTGGACCTCAATCCCAGTGTTCCTGACCCAGCCAATTCTGGGAGTTGAAGTCCACAATCATAAAAGAGCTATAATTCCCACCTCTGACTTAGACAAAACCTCTCAGCACCGGTATCTAACAAGAGGTCCCTGAAGTTCAAATACCACAGTGCTTACTACTAATTCAAGTCCCATCCATTCAGACCTTCATCAAATCCCAGGGTATTTATGAATGCTTGAGCCCACTTCAGCAAGCACATTTGTGGTAATAAGTGATCTGCTGATCTAAACCACATTGATTGATTAGTAGATGAAGGACATCCAAACCATGAAGTAGACCCTCGAGAACCTTAGTTCTGCTGAATAAGATCCTATATTTTTCAACTATCACATAGCTTATGACATACCTAGCATCCTTGACATATTTAATATTGATGAATTAGTTTGCCTAACTCCAAAATGGCACACTGTGTGAAAGTTTAGCATCACTATCACTTGTACCTCAATTACCCATCAATCCTATTTTCAACGGGTGTTCTGGAAAATTTTCTTTAAGATAAGGCCACATTTATTTAATAATTAGCTCTCAAACCAGAAGAAAAAGGCCACTTGAAACAGCCTTAACCACTTGTCTGAAGAACTAATTTCACCCTTTATGCTAGGAATTATGAAAGAAGACTGCTACATACAGTAAATGTTCCATTCTCAGTTGGATAAACACATTGGTTGATCCATAATGGCCTTTTAACAGATGGAAACAATCTAAGTATTCTACCAAAATGTACCTGGAGGGATCCAATTCTAAACAACATCAGGAGAGAGCAGATCCTTAGCACAGAGGTCATACTGAGTGCTTCAGCTATAACTGTTAAATTGGAGGTGTTTGTTCAATATTTCTATCTTGTGTATGGCATCATGCTGTAAATATTACAGCATCAAACGTTACAAATCTTTTCAGATATTACAAATGGGAGCAGGTGAGTTTGGTTGGAATAATACTTTGTGTAAGCTATTGTTTCTCAACTTCAGCAACTTTAAGATTTCAGCTCCCAGAATCCCCCCGCCAACATTGGCTTAAGAAATAATGGCTTAAGGCATCAGCAAGCACATTTGTGGTAATACGGACAGCACTTATTTTCATTACTTTTATTTTCACGTGGTTCTGATACAGTGGTGTCACTAGAGTAGCTGAGAATGGCATTTGGCCTAACTCGTTTGTAACTGGGGGGATTGAGGAACTTTGACTTGCATTTTAAACACAATAAGTTTACTTGTTGTTTCTTTAAAAAATACAGTAAAAATTCATGCAATGCAACTTCAGTAACAGACCTGTGATCACCAAGAGTAACAGAAAAAGGGTGATTCACCCAGGTGTAAAGCTGCCTATTGAATTCCTGGCTGTGCTGAGGCCTTTTTTTAAATTGAGATTTCCACCTCTTAAATATTTTTCTCACCAGAATGGCAAAATTTAAAGGTCAACCACTATAACACGGGGAAATAAAGAGTCTAAACTATATAATAAACTAAGAAGAATGAAAAAGACAAGGACCTTATAGAATATTGTTTTTTATTTATCACTTACATCCTACAAACACATTACTTTGGGGGGGGGGAGAAGAGGGACAAGCTCTACATTTGTAAAAGCAGCTGAAAAAGTGTCAGATTTCACACCTTATCCCAAATTTGGCTTATGTTCACAAAATACTTGGAAAGGCACCAAAAATAATTCCAAAAACATTTCAGTTTTCAAGCCGCTAACAATGAAAGTACATGTTCATAGTTATCTTATGGTTTACAAAACACCGTAGGCAAGGAATGCTATGCAGGCACGTGGCAGGGACTACAGAATTCAGATATCTTTAAACTCCATTTTGTGCAAACAAGGCTCATTCATTTAAAGGACTTTATTTTCTAAATAATTGTGATAAGCATT